CATCCCCTCACATACCTGTATGTTGCCAACATATCCCCTCTGAGTCTCCTCTTCTCCAGGCTGAAGAGACCCAATTCCCTCAGTCTTGCCTCATACGGCATCCCCTGCAAACCGGCCACCAACCTTGTGGCCCTACGCTGCACTGACTCCAACCTGGCTATATCCTTTCTGTAATGAGGGACCAAAACTGAACACAATACTCCAGTTGTGGGCGCACCAGAGTCATGTAGAGTGGTAATAATACCTCTCTTGATCTAGAAGCCACACTTCTGGCTATGCAACCAAGGGTGGCATTCACCCTCTATCTCTAAGTCCATTCCATTCTGCTTAAATGCCTTTTTCAAAATATTTTAAACCTGTGTTTTTCTGTCATTAAGATATAATTCACATTCATCCTTCTTCATTTCTATCCCAGTCATTTGCTAATGAATCATGGCACTCACTGCTGCACCGGGAATCCCACGTAGGCCTTCTGAACCAGGTTGGCCTGGAGGTCCCTGTGGGCCCATGGGTCCCATCTTCCCTGGGGCCCCTTCTGTACCAGGCTCCCCCTGAGGAAAAGAAAAATAAAAACACAACAGAACTTAGAGAGGGGGTAGGCAGAAAGTAGACCAGGATGGATTGCAGTAAATCAGCAAAGCTTTTGCCTCCTAGATTTGGTGCCTTCTAAAAGCAGGAGTGGTTTGTGTACAAAAAGATTTGTTAGTCTGATTCTTTTGCTAATCAGAAATTCCTGAGCTAATCATGAAGATAGAGGCACCCTGCACCTTAATTCTTAGTCAGTTTAGTGCTTCTGCACTAAAATCCCCTGAATCAGCATCTTGCACCATATTCCAATTGGTGGATCCCAGTTAGGAAGGAAGGAAGGAAGGAAGGAAGGAAGGAAGGAAGGAAGGAAGGAAGGAAGGAAGGAAGGAAGGAGGACCTGCACAGATCAAACCTACCCCTGCCTTATTTCAGAGATGCTCAATTAATCCAAGCCTGCTTCATGTTTCTGTTGGACATGAGATGCTCCCACACAGATGTAGGTGGCTTTGAAGAATAAAAGGTTATTCCAAATAGCCCTGGCTCTTGAGTCAAGGGGCAGAATTATCCATCTCAGAAGATGGCTTCTTCCAGAGAAGGGGAATACTGAATTTGGAATCAATAGAAGAAAAACAGAGCAAACAGAGAGAAATCAAGGGCAGATGATTGATCACAGGTGGGTAAGAGTTGTTAGCAATCCATTACTGGACCCAGAATAAAAGCCTTACCTTGCTCCCTTTTTCACCCTGCCGACCTTCCCGGCCAGCTGGACCAAGAGGTCCCTGAAACAAAGAAAGAGGAGCACTGCATAATACAGTTTGGTGAGATTCCTGTTGTTTTAACACTCCAGTCTTCCTTTGGCAGAAAGATTCTAGACCCAATTGTTCTCATGAACTTATTATAAAAAAGAAGTACGCTATTGCTCCAGCCGGAAGACTTTACAGAAATTAAACTTGTTTCCAATTAAGAAACAAATAAGCAGGACAAATTGGACATCATGTAAATCTTTACAAAAACACATCACCAGCCCCAAGGAATAGATTATAAGCAGAAAGAACACATCAACAAAAGATCTTACCAATCTGCCCACAGTACACAGGCAGGCACAAATACTGAGCAATGTCCATTATATAAGCAAGGATAGGAGAATCTTTTTATATTTATCTTTAGTGAAAGTGAGCATAAACACTAACACTTTCTGGGTAAATTCAGTGGTACAGGTAATTTTAGACCCTGGACGTCAAGATCTCATGTGGACCCCCTTCCAGAAGCTACAAGGTTTACATTACCCATCACTCCCAGCCATTCCACACCCATGTTTTACCATTGCTTGCACATTCCTGATGTTAGAACTCAGCAAAACTGTTTGCTAATCTTGATTTGAAAAAAAAAATCTCTGCACATGTACAAGTTTGCATATAGCACCATAATGACTACAGGAATAAAACAGCATTTGCCCCTGCTGTCTTGAAGTCTCATTGCCTGCCATTTTCTGGGTAATTTAAGGTCCCCCTGGAATTCAGCGTTCTGGATTTTGGTTCCAAAGTTCAGGTCTTGCTGCACCACTGTGTGACTCCATCACTCTTATTTGCAAGCAGGAGGCCAGTTGAACAAGGAGGGTTTTGTTATTTAAATAGTTTGGGGAGAAATATTTCTTTTCCAGTGGGGGCCATATCCTCAATCTCCTCAAATGTAAGCCAGTGTGACATGGTGGTGAGTGTTGGACTGAGGACCTGGGAGATCCAGGTTCTAGTCTCCACTCAGCCAGGAAGCACACTGGGGAACTTTTGGTCAGTCATGAGTTCTCAGCCCAACCTCCTGCACAGGATTGTGGTTGTAAGGTTAAAATGGAGCTATGAAAGCTGCTCTGGGTTCCTCTCAAGAGGACAAAAGGTGGAATATAAATGCAATATCACCATCCTCATCACCTGTCCTAAACAGCATACATAAAACTGCAAACAATACCCCAACTTAACCCATCTAAAGCTGGAGATGTCATTCACTAATACCTGGAAAGTACAAATGTCAATTTCAAGAGAAATTTGATTGAGGCAATGAGGTACTTCTCTTCCAAGCATGGAGGAAAGAATGGGGTTTCTACATGTTCAGAAGCCATACACAATCAGGAATCCCAATGGCATGCAAACCTGCCCAGATACAACTGTACATGCTTTGCAGATTTCATGGGAGTGGGGTAACATGCATAACCTCGGCATTGGGGTCCATGGGTGACCCCCCCCCCACTCTTCCATGCATTAATGCCTGATGGAAGCTCTTGTGTTGTGTATACAAAGCCTTTTGTCTACTCCCACACTGTTGCTTCAGCTGTGTTACCAGAAATCTGATCAGTCTTCTGATAACCATTGCAAGAGAAAGAGCAAATGCACAAAGACATCCACAAAGGCCAAGGTCCATTTGCAGTCTGGATCCACGGCCTGTTTTGGCAAGGAGATCTCAAACTACACTAAACATATTGAGCTTCTGCACTAAAATCCTCATTTCTCAGATTGCAATTTGTTATGAAATATTTACTTAGATAGCATATATTAGTTATGGCAGGAGTCTCTTACTCCTCCTGGAACACAGACAATTCTTTAAGCGAGCTTGCATAAATCAACTGTTCTATAGCAAAACACCTGGTGTACAGCAGTTCCATATACTTGCACAAGACCTGAAACATTTAGCTGAAACTTACCCTCATTGTGCAGGTTTCCTCAAAAACCATGAAAGCTAATGATGCACCCATAAAATAAACAAAACTGGTAACCTAAATTACACGTGCATTTGCTCAAAAAGAATGCTTCTGAGTTCAGTGGGGCTTTCTCCCAAGTATGCATACAGTTGAAACAACTGTAATCAACACTCGCATTAATGCAATTATTTAACATCTATTTAGAAAACATTATCTATGGCATAGATAGTGTCCTCAGAGCTTCTGGCACCAATATGCCCATGGACAGCCTTCTGGGTAACCAACAGGCTATGTGCTTCTTCTGATTTTTATTTTATTTTATTTCTTATGTCTTTGTTTGTTTATTTGTTTGAAACTTAGAGGCAGAAACACTGTAAAGCAAAATGCTGCCATCCAGCACCTACTTTATTTGGATCCAAGAGAGTGGCTTTGTGTTTTGGAGATCTGACTTCATCTCTGTCTTATGCTTACATTATTGTGCAAATTACTTTTTCTTTTTTCTTGTTATGGTAATGCCCTATTATGTACAATGCATCACTGGCATATCAGCTGATTTGGAGTTACTTTGCTTTTAGTCTCATCTGCTTGCCTTCTGGGATTCAGTGTTTTGTGACTAGCCATGTACACCATGCCAGCCATTTTATGAATGGGCAATCTCCCCACTCCCCACACCTGCATATACCATGGCAGCAATTTGGTGAGAATGCCCACAATTCTCTCAAAATGCCAAATGTGCCCACTGGTGATCCCAAGGTAACTAAGGATGTGAAACATCATAGACTCCCATCTATCCTTTACAATGGCAGCCCCAACTTACCCTCTTCCCTGGTGAGCCAGGTGGACCTGGTTCCCCAGAAGCTCCAGGGGCCCCCTGAAAACAAAATAATAAAAGAGAGCAGATTATTTCTAATCACACCATTTGAGGGAACCATTTGTGGTGGTGTACATGGAAACTCTCTGGTCCCATTCGCATGTCTACTAATTTCTAATAGAGCCACTGATACGCCTGCTCAGAAGTAAGTTCCAGTGAGTTCAGTGGGGTTTACTCTCAGAGAAGTTTGTACAGGATGGCTTCTGTACATTAAGAGTGGCACTGACCTCATGTGATGGTCACCATGTGGGGAAATACCAGTGGCCTCCATGTGTGCACCAGACCTACAGTAACACTGTCATTCATTCCTTCATTCATTTCATCTTTCTTTTATTTCATTTCATTTCTATGCTGCTGATAGCCGAAGCTCTCTGGGCAGTTTACAACAACAGTGTGGGGAACATTATGGGTTGTTCATGCAGCAACCAAGCCACCTGCTTATTGCCAGGTAAGTCAGCCTGGAACCACAGCCTCAAATTTTGAAAAGGTGAGTAGGACTGCCATGTACAAGACATGTTGGAGGGACATGTTCATAGTGTCACCATAAGTCAGGAATAATGTGAGAGCAACAGCAGAGAGTGCCACTTTTCCATCTCACGGTGGGATTAATCTTTCAATGACCTTCAACATTTTGCATTCTGGATTTCTCTTATTATGCACCAATGGCATAGCTGTACAAGAAGTGTATCTGTTTTATATCTGGTTATTTTAAGTATTATACTTTCTAATCTTGTAATTAAGTTATTGTAATGCACTCTATGTGAGGGTGCCTTGAGCTTGGCTTGGAAGCTGTAGCTAGTGCACAATGCAGCCACTAGGATGCTAAGTTGAGCATCCAGCCATGTTCTCATGAAACCTGCATTAAAAGAACTGCACCGGCTGCCTATGAGCTATCAAGCCATGTTCAAAGTACTATAGTTCTCGACATTCAAAGCCCTAAATAACTCAGGACCAGAAAACCTCACAGTCTGCCTTCCCCATATACACCTGGTTGACCTCTCTTCATAGCCAGAATGGAACACCCAGTTTCTGAAACACCTTCACCCATGCCATTTGAGAGGCAGAAAACAGAGCACATTTTAATTGCCTCTGAAAATGTACTTCAAATGTACTCAAGCTTGTCTGGCTTATCAATGATTGCTATGATGCTGTTCAGACTTGCATATTTTTCCTGGTTTATTTTCCAATTGTACCTTTGTTGTTATGTGGAATTTTTTTAGTGTTATATGCTATTATATATGCACTTTTAAGGGTGATTTTCCAAACTTTTCTATGTAAATCACTTAAAGCACAATCCAGTGGGGCTGCCCATAACTCTCTGAAGGTGTGGGGTGACAGTCATCCTGTGCAGAGAGAGAGAGATGTGTTGAAATAATCTCCATCCCTGCACTCCTTCTGCCCTGATAATCAGGTAGATGACTGAAAATGGCCACCTAGAAGGGGAGGGAAACAGGCTGGAATGCCACCAGGTGATGTCACATTCTGGTAGACCTGCTCTCCCTCCCTCCCTCCCTCCCTGTCCCTCAGAATGCCCCCGCTCCCCTCAATTTTCCCATCTCTGGGATTTCATTATGACTGCAGAGATTCAGCCAACACAGTTCTTCCCACACTGACTGCAAGGTGTGGGGACAGTGACCTGAGAGTGGATCCTCAACTCTAAGGTTGGAGCTTCTTCTCCACATTGGATCTGGGAATTCAAATGACCCCTTGAAACATTGTCTAAAAGCCCAGAGAATTGCTCTGTTAAAGATTTCACTATATCGAAGGATATACTAGGGAGAAAAATTAAAACAATCTCCTCCTCCCTGCTGCCAAATCCTGGGAATTTCAATTTGCCAAAATGCTGAGAATGCAGTGAGTTCCTTGCCTCCTTTGCCAGGCCCAGTTCCTTGCCTCCACTGGGCAGAGTGTGAGGCAGCCACCTTGGGCAGCTGACTTTGAATATCATGAAAAAGGGAGCAAATATCATGATAGCAGGTTCATTTTTACTGCCAGGTAGAAGGAGAGGTCCTTGTGGGATTTTCTGCCAAAATAAATTTCCTGGCCTTAGGTACTGTGTGCCTTGACTTTCGGGGATGGATGAGGCCAGCCTTGCTCTTCCTTCAAAGAATGGCAGTTCTTGGTTTCCCAGCAGAGAATGGCCAACAAAAGTCAAAGTACTTCAATTATTCTGTGTGGATGCACAGTAGGTCTGCCCTACTTATGTACAGGCTCCCTTTAGGTATTCAGCATTTTATTTTATTTTTTAATGCACAGAACCACCACTATTAGTGGGACACAGGGGAGGGTTGTTCTCCGTCTTACTCACTGGAAGTCCAGGATCCCCCATGTCACCCTTCTCACCAGGAGCTCCATCCAAGCCCTAAGCAGAAGACAGAATCAAAGTAGCATTAGAATCTATCTGTTGTCACCAAGAAAAGCACTTGCCTTAACACCAGGGAAGAAGTTAAGCCCTGCAACAAAATGGTACAGTGTGGAGCGCTTCTGCTTAGGGTTCCAGCCAGCCATGACCTCCACCAAGATACTCCATTCCATCCCCCAACTGGAGAATTCACCCCACATTCATTCTCTCTCTCTCTCTCTCTCTCTCTCTCCAACAGACAGCATTCTGCAGACATTGAGTATGCTCAGTGCTCACTGGGTTGGACTTTGATCTTTTTGCCTTTTTCTTCCCCTTTAAGGGTTTAAAAAATTATCATTCTTATTTTGGTGCTCCTGAAAACCTTAGGATTTCAGCCAAATATTTTACAAAATGCTTTATACACAAGAACCTGGATTAAAATGTGTCATTTTGCCATGTTCCCAGTGTATGCAAAATTTAGCTCTGGCTTTAGCTACCCTGCCTGACAGGCTGGAATTGCCTGTATAAGCCAGAGGCACCCTGTGTTTCATTATGAAATGACTAATTATCCAGATTACATTTCTAAGCCTCCTCGTCTTTCTCCAAGGGCAGATGATGTACAAGGGGATGATCCCCTGTTATCCCCACAATAGCCCTGTGAGATAGATTTAAAAGTGTGTGTGTGTGTGTGAAAAAGAGAACGAGCAAGAGAAAGAGCTCGTGAGCATTTGCAAATGTGAGAGAGACAGTGAATGTGAGAGCCTGTATGAGAGGGTGACTCTGCACATATAGGAAGGGGAGAGAGAAAGGGGGCAGGGAGAAGTTTCTAAACCCATTTTTGAACTTGAACCCATGATGCTGTTCCCAGTCAAAGCTCACCTCTACCTATAATAGCCTTCCTATTGTTTCTACAATCATCCCAGCTTGAAAAGGAGACCAGTCACAAAACCATAGCTTCTCTTTCAACTCACTATAAAGACTTGCTCTGCTATTTGGATAGCTAAGTAAATCCACCAGCACAGAGGGCGGCTGGGGAATCCCAGCCTTTAAAGTGAGTTTGGGGTTATCTCAAGGTAAGAAACTGGGCAAACATGCCCTGAGATTTTGTGCAATTTGGGATATGATCTGAAAGACACAGGAACTGAGTGAAACATTCCATCCAACATGGGAAATACAGCAGTCCTGGCTTCCAGATGCCGCCCTCTGCCCATATTTTACCCCCTCTAAAGCCAAAAGCAAAATAAAATCCAACTGAGCAGCTGCTCCATTCAAAAGCTGATACTCACAGGAGGGCCGGGATCGCCAGATGGGCCTGGGTCCCCAGGGAATCCTATTGGGCCCTGCAATGGAGAGACAGGGCACTGAATACCACACAACCTGAGAAGCATTTCCCACAAGGGCACCAGTTCTCCAGAACTGACACCAAATGTCTCCACCTTGGCCCTACCTATGAATAGGTTGAAGACAGTGTCCTCCTACCTGCTCTGTGGATGTCTAGGGTTTGTGCAGGTATCCGGATTGCAAGTGATGGTGGACTGGGTGGACATACCCGCTGTGGACAGGGGGCTGGAACAAATGGGCCTTGCTTATTCATATACTGCATTTATATCCTGCCCTTTTTCTGCAAGGTGTCTCCCATGATCCTGCTCCATTAGCCTACTGTGAGGTAGATTAAGCTGAGCATCAGCAACCAGCCGAAGTCCCCTGGTGAGCTTCACGGCCCAGCAGGGATTAGAACCTGGATCTCCCGAGTCCCAGCTCAGCTCTCAACACCAGAGGGGTTCCCCGTCTTGTCATTCTCTGGCTCTCCCCTGAGTCTCTTTGAAGACACGGCTCAGCTCTCCTGGTCCCTCTGAGTCAATGGCTCTGTTCTCTGCAGTCTTGGTGAGGCGTGGGGCTGCCCTGGGGGGGCTGAGGGAATTGGAGGCTCAGAAGTGCCACAGAGCCTCCTATCCACAGTGATTTGGGAGCTAAACTGACATGCCCTTCCTGATACGCCAGCCTCCCCCAGTCAGGTGCTGTCCAGAAGTGCCGGGCTGCAATTCCTCCTGCTCCCAGACTCACCAAGTTCCCTTTGGCGCCATCTTCTCCAGGGGGACCCTTCTTGCCAGGGGGCCCTGCAGCTCCAGACTGGCCAGAGTCTCCTTTCTCACCCACATCACCCTTCACACCCTGGGAATGCACACACAGAAACACCAGTCAGAGTCCCCTGGAAGGAGCCAGGCTTTGCAGAGAGTCCTGTTCTTAGGCTGCTCACTTTATCCTGGGCTGGGGCGGAGGGTGAGAGCGCAAAACGCATCTGCAGCCTCAGCCAAGATAGGCAAGCAGCCTTAAGCAGAGCTTGGCTTGGCGCTAGCCATGCTCCAGAAGGTGAGGAGAGGGAAGATGGCATTTCCCTCAGCTTCATCCCAAAACTCAGAAACTTACTTGCCGACCTGGCTCTCCCAGAGGACCAGGATCTCCTGCTTCACCTGGTTCACCCTACACAGAAAGAGAGAGAGAGAGAGAACTCCAAACCAGCCCTCCCAGCTCCTCTGGGACCTGTTCTCAGAAAAACACAGTCAAACTACAACACCATAAATAGAATCTCTTTTTCTAGCTGTTGCTGTTCCCCATTTCACAAGGCTGGTCCACACTCATGGGCAAATCACCCAAACCCAGTGTATTTTCCCCATTTCAAATGCACCATTTGAAAAATAAAATGGAAGAGTACACCTGAGCCCATACAGAGTGTGCTTCCTATATGTCTGTTGAAATACAGCATACTGTCATGCCACAAGTTGTAAGGAGGTGGGATCTCCGGGTCAGTGAATATTGCCTCAGGCATGCTTAAGCCTTAAGGCCACTTACTTTCTTCATTAGATCAGCATTCCCCAACAAGGTGCCCAACAGATATTTTGGACTTCAGCTAAAGGCCAGGGATGCTGCAAGTTCTTATTCAAAAACCCCTGGAGAGCACTAGATTGAGGAAGGCTTCAATAGATCTGCGTCTTGCTTTGGTACAGAATGACCTTCCCCATCTTGCTGTCTATGGATATTCCCTAAGAGCCCCAGCTTGTTCCATGATTCTGCCTCTGGTGGCCAAATACGCACAATATACATAGGAGCAGCCCCCTTAACACCACCAGCTTGCTCTCCTGCCTCACTGTCCATGCCCCCTTGCTATGCAGGAGCTTGTATTTCCTTGCCTCGGGCTTCTTCCACAGCTTGCAGAGTCTGGTTCTGGCCAAACTCTGGATGGACAGAGCACCAAGAGGCACTGCATGTGTCAGCAAAGGTTCAAGTGCTTCTCTTCCCTCACAGATCTAAGAAACCAGGACTGATGCTCCTGACATTGATTCTAATGCCACTAGACTAGTCCTCCAAAGCAAAATCCCACCCATCTTCCAAAGTTCCTGAAACCTGACACTTTCTATTATGCAACCTCCGGCTCCTGAGCTCACCTTGAAGCTGCAGAGGCTGGCCCTCCAACCCAAACATCCTGGCTTGGACTCACCTTTTCACCAACAGCACCTGGCTGTCCCAGCCCACCAGGTTGACCCTGTGGACCCTGGAATAAGAAGAGGCACAAGCGCTTTAAAAAATACACCTTGCCCATCATGGTGTCCTCAGAGATATCCCCCACCTACTAAAATTAATCAAACTTAGAAACATAGAAAACAGAGCAAGTAAGAAGGGGTCTCCCGGGCCATCTAGTCTGACCTCCGGCATCAGCCGGCTCCGGTAACGACATGCCCACCATGTGGACGTCCAGCCTGTCCTTGAACACCCGCACCGATGGGGCCTCAACGACCTCTTGCTGAAGCCCATTCCACACCCTCAGTGTCCTGACTGTCAGGAAGTGCTTCCTGGCATCCAAATGGAACCTTGGCTCCCTGAGCTTTGCTCCGTTGGAGCGCGTCCTGCCTTCCTCTGCAGGGGAGAACAGGTCTCTACCCATCTCCATGTGACATCCCCTCACATACCTGTATGTCACCAACATATTCCCTCTGAGTCTCCTCTTCTCCAGGCTGAAGAGACCCAGTTCCCTCAGTCTCGCCTCATACCCCATCCCCTGCAAACCGGCCACCAACCTTGTGGCCCTACGCTGCACTGACTCCAACCTGGCTATATCCTTTCTGTAATGAGGGGCCCAAAACTGAACACAATACTCCAGTTGCAGGTGCACTAGAGTTGTGTAGAGTGGTAGTAGTACCTCTCTTAATCTAGAAGCCACACTTCTGGCTATGCAACCAAGGGTGGCATTAGCCCTCTTGACCACTGCATTACACTGCTGACTCATGTTTAGCCTGCAGTCAACCAGTACCCCGAGGTCCCTTTCACAAGTGCTGCTCTCCAGTCACTTGTCACCTAACCTGTACTTATGATACCTATTCCTATGCCCCAAGTGCAAGACCTTGCACTTATCCACATTGAACGCCATCCTGTTGTCTCCTGCCCACTTCCATAGCCTGTCCAGATCCTTTTGGATCTGGAGTACCTGCTCCTCAGTTGTGGCCACTACTCCAGTTTTAGTGTCGTCTGAGAATTTGATCAGCAGACTGTTCACCCCTTCTTCCATGTCGTTAATGAAAAGATTACACAGGATCGGCCCCAGGACAGAGCCCTGGGGGACCCCACTTGTCACTGGCCACCATCCCGATGATTCTCTGCTAATGGTTACCTTCTGCTTTCGGTCAGTCAACTGTGCCCTAATCCACCGGACAGTGCTTTGGTGTATCCCAAAACTCCTCCACTAGTTTCTCCACCAGGATATCATGGGGCACTTTGTCAAAGGCCTTGCTGAAATCCAGGTATACCACATCCACTGCATCCTCTCCATCTAGCCATCCAGAAACTTTGTCATAGAATTCCACAAGGTATGTCTGGCAGGACCTGTTTTTGCGGAAGCCGTGTTGTGCGGTTGTCAGCCTCCCTTCCCTATCTAGCATCACTAAATCTCTCTCTATTATGAGCCTTTCCATTGTTTTTCCTACAATGGATGTAAGGTAACCGGTCTATAATTCCCCATGTCCTTTCTACTACCCTTTTTGAAAATTGGGACCACTGATGCCACCCTCCAGTCCTCTGGAACTTCACCTGTTCTCCACGAGGCCTCCAAAATGAAGGCCAGTGGGCGTGAGAGAACCCCTGCCAACTCTCTAAGTACTCTCGGGTGTAACCCGTCAGGGCCTGGTGCCTTTGTAATGTCCAATGCCCTGAGGAGCCCCTCGACTTCAAAGGGGGGTGACTCTAATCTGTGCCCCTAAGTCCCCAGCTTCATCTAATCTCCTATGCGGATATCCCCCATCCTGCTTTGGGGGGAACACAGAAGCAAAATCATCATTTAGCATCTGTGCCTGTTCCCTCAAATCAGTCACTGTATCTCTTTCCTCCTTATTTAGTGGTCCCACCACTTGTCTCCGCTTCTTCTTCCTATTTACATGCTGAAAGATGCCCTTTTTGTTGCTCGTGATATTCTTGGCAAGTCTCAGCTGGTAATCAGCCTTAGCCTTGCGAAGAATCCTTCTGCAACGGGCCTCCTCCTCCTGGTATACCCTTTCGTCTATTTCCCCCAGTACCCATTTCCTACGGAGGTTCCTCTTTCATCTAATCCCTCTAACCACCTCCTTTTGCATCCATGGCAGCACTCTCCTCCACCTCCCCACCTTACTGACTAGAGGTACCGTCAAGGCTTGCGCCTCCAAAACCTCCCTTTTGAGTGCTATCCACCCCTCCTCAACTCTCTTACCTTCCAGTAACCTATCCCAGGCGACTTTCCCCAGTCTGGCCTTCAGTTGGCCAGAGTTGGCCCTCTTGAAGTCCCAGCTTCTAATGCTCGACCTGCTGCACGTCCCTAGTCCCCTGATCTCAAAGCAAAGGATGGAGTGATCACTCGCATCCAGAGCTCCCCTCATCTGTTCTTCATCTATCAGCTCCTCCCTATTGGTCAAGACCAAGTCAAGGATGCCCCCCCCCCCCCGGTCGCCTCTCGGACCCTCTGTGTGAAAAACGCTCCCTCTATAGCTTTTAGGAAGTGACGTGACCTGGCTGTCACCACCGAGTGAGTCTCCCAACTAATATCCGGGGGACTGAAATCTCCCATAATTACTCTGTCTCTCCCCCAAGACATCCTTAGAATGTAGTCTGTCAGGACATTATCCAGGGTCTCAAGTTGACCTGGAGGGCGATAACATACCCCCCACCAAATCCACATCTGTCTTTTATGCTTTCTTGTCTTTTATGCTTATTCCCTGTCACCTTCTCCACCAACCCCAGCCAGAGTAACTGTCCTCTAGGAACTTTGTTTTCCCCCTTTTAAAAATAAAAGCATACACCATTAGCATACAATTAAAATAAAACATAAAAAACACTGTATCCCACCACTGGGACCACTGGATATATGTTATATAGTTGATCCTTTGAAAGAGCTCTGCCTGCCTCCCAGAATTGCAATAAAATTTGTGATGGTTCACATTCTTTTCCTTTAATTAACACATATTCAATTAATGGACTCCAAATTTCACCAAAATCATTCTTTTTGTGTACCCTTTCACTTTAATATTACAAGCTAATTTGTCATTAATAGTAATATTCCCAACTTCTCTATGCTAATCACTCAACAGATAATAATATTTTACTTTCCAATTCCCTTTCTTTGCTACCTCTAAGAATCTGTGGACTTGCTTCAATGTGATATTCTCTGTGGAATTCAGCATGCACATTTCCTGACACCAAAGCAATGGATGCTTCTCACTATGTGCTGCAGAATGCAAGCTGCTGCATCTGTGCACTTGCCAAAATATGCTTGGAAGGGCTATGCAAGATCATTTGATGTGCTCTGTTACCTGCTTGGTAGTTTGTATAAACTATTGAGTTCTATGGGATGTTTTGCAGGTGGTACCAAAGAAAGGCCTATTTCTTGCCTCTGTTATTTTAGTGATGTGCTGGGCCTAATGGCCATGTTGATTAGCCTGTGTAAAGTATCTATTTTCCATCCCTCCTTTTGATCCAACAGGATCACCCCAGAGAATCCATGTTTCATGGTCTGTTAACACTGCATCAAGAACTCTTAGACCAATGGTCTAAAAACCCAATCAATAAAAGAAAAATGTGTTCATTGTAGCCACCACTCAATAAAAGTCTTTGAAATTGTCATTACCAAGTCAATTACTGTGGATCATTTCCATTTTGGGGATTATTCAAGATGTGATCAGCATATCACACAATAGCTATCATTTAAACTGAATATATGGCCTCAACACTGAGAATCAATGCACCAGGGACAGAGGCTGGATTTCCCCAAGTCTCTTTGTTGAGTCCACAGGGAGAGGGGCTTTGCTAGCATTTTGATTTACTAACATAATCTGTGTTTATTGGATTTAATATAATAGCTTCCCAGTATTTCCAGCCCCAATCTCTGAGCTCAGACCCTGCAGAACCTCCAAACAAAAATAATCAGCAACAGAGCTCCAAAGGGAGCTGTCCTTCTGACAATATTTGCCCACATGCCAGTGATTCCGCCCTTCCCAGGAGAGGAAACCCAAGGCATCCAAATGCGGAAAGTGGCTCTTTCCCTCTGTCTCTGCTTTATATGGAGAAACAAGCACTACTCACATCCCCACCACTGGGACCCTGTGGGCCTCGGGGGCCTGGAGCTCCTGGTGGGCCCTAGAGAGAACAGGGAGGAAAATGATAATAGATCAGATTCATCAAGAGGTAGCAGCAGTGGAACAAAAGGCAGGGCTAGGTTTCAAACGGAAGAGGTGAAACTGAGAGCTCTTACCATTGGACCAACATCGCCACTCTCACCCTTCTCCCCTGGAGGCCCTGGCATCCCCTGGGAAGAAAGCACACAGCACCTGAATCAGCAAGTCTGCAGCATTCCCTCCATCCTGCTGAAACCCCTCAGTTCTGACTAACATGGACATGTGAGCTTGGAACGTGACATTCAAGCGATCAAATGCTATATTTTTACATGGCATGTTTCAGACTTTAAAATACTGAGCAGCCCTGAACTACTGTATGCCCTTTCTCAGTATAACCCTCAATATTTGCAAAATATGCTGACTTCACAAATTTCAAAATGTAGCTGATTTAACAAATTTAGAATTTTTTTATTTCAGTTATATCCAACATCCAAAATACTCTAATATTCCTGGTTCAAGCTCCTTTCCAGATAGGTCCATGAAGTAGCGTGGATGCCCTCCATGCTGCTCCAACTCCCCTACTCACCTGCAAACCAGCTGGTCCACTGACTCCTGGGAATCCACGGGCTCCCTCATCTCCTTTCTGACCAAACATGCCCTGTTGCCCCCGGCGCCCAGGCTCCCCATCTGCTCCCTGTCATCAAGAAAACCATTTTAGGATTTGCTTTGTTAGAGAAAACTCTTCCCCTCTCCAATACACCCCCATCTCTCTCGGGCATAGTAGAGCTGGTTGGGAATATGGCAATGGAAGTCATCTCAGCCAGCTGAGAGCCTCCGTCAGAAGTTTTGCAGGATAAACTGATGCCAACATATGGAAGAAAGAAGGGATAAGGGAGAGGAACTGATCTGTAGGAAAGATTTAAGGTACCATTACAGATTCTGGGGTGCAGGAAATACTCACAGCAGGGCCTGGATGCCCAATAGGACCCTGGATTCCAATAGGTCCTGGGGGACCCTGTGGGAAGAGGCATAGCATAAAACAGTAGCTTCCTCTAATTCTCCACCCACTCTCTTCCAGGATTTTTCCCCCTGAAGTTCTCTGCCTGGTCCAGTCAATTAAAAAACAATAAGCAATAACAACAATAGGGCTTAAGGGGCAGCTATGCTGACCAATACCACAAAGTCTACCAGCAACTTGACTTCAACTCACCGCTTCCCCTTTGTCTCCTTTGCTTCCCTTCTGTCCTGGACCACCCATCTCTCCCTGCAGAGAGAGAGAGAGAGAGAAAGAACACATACTATGAGCACGTAAGCATCACCAAGGAAACCAGTCAGGTAAACTTCTGCCCAATGAGTAAAGCCTTGCCTGAGGAGACCACTGAGGGAAATCACAACAATAATGCTGTTGCCATGGAATACATTGTCAAGGAAATAAAATGGGCCTGTGGTGGGCCTAATACATATTTCTCCTTTTCCTCCAAACAGGGGGATGTGGTGGCATAGTGGCTTAATGTCACTGGAACTGTTGATCAGAACTGGTTGACACTCCAGCAGCTCAAGTCCAGCCTTGTTGGATGAGGTGATTTCCCATCATCTGCCCCTAGGTTCTGCCCACCTAGCAGTTCAAAAGCATACCATCTGTGAGTAGATAAATAGGGACCACAACTCCTTCGTGGAAAACCTGCTGCCTTTATTTGTGATGCAAGCGAGCACCAGAGCACCGGTGCTAGATCTGCCAGGATGCGCTCGGTGGAGGATTGGCAGAGAAAACCCCCGGATGAACTGACTTCAATAAGGTAAGCCACCTTACCTTGTCACCATCTTCTCCAGCAAGTCCTGGTGGCCCAGCGGGGCCTGGCAACCCTGCTGGACCTGGGATTCCATCATGCCCAGCTGGACCCATAGGGCCTCTCTCACCCTGGAAAGTGGAGATGGAAGTGAGGACAGCAGCGGAGCGGAACAGTACTGAGGGAAATTCAGCTATCTTCTCACATGGGGGAATGAATCCCAGTGAGTACAGAGACCCAAAATGTCAAAGCTTATCCAAGGTATGTCTGTACAATTTGCTTTTTCACCCGAGAGTGAACACAACCAGCAACCTGGGCAATTTGGAAGTACTCAGGTGTGTTCTGCCTTGATATCCATTCTACAGCTTCCTTTCAATATGCTGAAGTTAGCAGCCCATAACCTTATTGCATCACCCCTTGCTGAGAAGAAAGGCCACACAGACAACTGATTTAGACCACCCTTCATTCCAACCATTTTTTCAATTTTAAGTTGATTTTTACTGTAATACCTTTCATTCTTTTCTATTGACCGTTGAACTCAGATAGTGACACATTTGCTTGCCATCAATTTGCTTGGTTACCACTCCTTTTAATTTGCTGTTTGTTTGTTTATTTATTTAATTTTTATATCACCCAATAGCCAACAGCTGTCTGGGCAGTTAACAAAAGTATGTTTACATTTTTGTAATGTGGGAGGTTCAGACAATGGCAACCGGGGCCTTCTCAGTGGCGTCCCCAGCCATGGAATGCTGTCCCCAGTCAGGTCCACCTGGCACCAACATCATCATCTTCTTGGTAAGATAGGGGTGTGTGAGGAATCCACTTGCAGGGAGGGGTCAAAATTCAGTGCATTGAAGCTCAGTAACCTAGAGTCTGGCCAATCTACGCAGCACTGGTGCTGACTCATTCTGATGCAAACTGAGTTAACGTAAGGTCTGCTTTTAAAGCACATTGTGATTTACAAGGGGTTTTTTTTTAAGCATGGGAATTTGCAGAAAATATGTCCCCCATTTGTGCAAACTGAGACTGTGATTTCTGCAAATTGCACACACTGCAACCATATTTTACTTTCAAAATATGTGCAAATCATGTCCTGCTTTAAAAGCAGACCCCCCTCCCCCCACCCCCAAATAAACCTCACACAAAAGGTCTCATATGACCTGCTTTTGGCCCTTGAGGTAGCAGGATACACCAAAGTCCGCTGAGTACAAGCAGCTTCCATTCTTGAGTGTCTCCCATCCCTTGATTAAGGCCCTCTCCTTCCAGGCAGGTGACAGCAGAGGACGTGGAAAGCAGGGGCCTTATACAGTTATGGTAATTTTATTGACCACTGCTTTTTAATTTGTTTTAAAATGGTTTTAAATTTTGAATGTTATATGTTTTATATTATGTTTTATCATGTTGTGAACCACCTAGAAAGTTTGGGTCGTTGGGTGGCATAGAAATGTAATAAATAAAATGAATGAATGTTTAAACTGTATTTTCCCATTTTTAAGTTGCTTTGATATATCTCTCCTTTTAAAATTATTATTGTTCCTGCTTTTACATTCTTTTAAATATGTGCTTTTATTATTGGTTTTATTGCATTTGCATTTATTATATATGCCACGGTGAGAGCTTTGGCTAAAGGTCAGCTCATAAATGGCATGAATAAATACATATAAATAAATAAATTACACAACCCCAGAGAGAAAGTGAAACATTTCGATATTCTCTTGCAGTCCTTTCATGTTCTCTTTCCTTCTCCCTCCCCTCACCCATTTTATGACATCCCAGTAAGATTTGCAGTGGTTCCCAAAAGCAGATGTACACATTCACATTTGCTTTTCTCCAAAAAACCCAACATCTGGTCCTGCATTCAGATGTCCACCTAAAAATAATGAGGGCACTCTGTGTGTGCGCACGTGTGTGCGCGTGTTACACACATGCTTGTTCACAGAGCACCCACAAAGCACTTTCTGAGGACAGAGTGAAAGGTATTTTAAGATTTAAGATGAACGAACAGTCCATGATGGGGACAAAGATCATATAAGAGGGATGTGGGTAAGGAATTACTTCCTGATGAAAGTGAAAAGTAGAGGTTACTTGTTCACACTAATGCTTACTAGGCACCAAGTCCAATCATGGAACTTGTGAAATGGTAATAATGAAATGTGCTGTTAAGTATATACAGAGTGGCTTTCCTCTACCAAAGCACACCCAGAAATGTCTCAGGAGTGGTGTTGGACTCCCAGACCAAGTAAATGGCCTCCAGGTAGCTTTGAGCAATGAACGTCTTTTCCCAGAAACTGATTGCTGGTCCAAGGAAGGTGTAAAGAGGATGAAAGGATGGATTTGTACATACCGGTGCCCCCTTTTCCCCTGCAGGGCCAGAAGGCCCCTGGCTACCTCCTCGTCCTGGAAGTCCAATGCCCCCAGCTGGCCCAGAGGGGCCTCGCTCACCAGGAGAACCCTGTGGGAAAGGAACAACTATATAAACCCTTCATGAGCTGGCACTTTCCCTTTTCTCTTGTGTTCATCAAACTCAAAATGAACCTTTAGAGGTGCAATTCTTTTATAGAACAGTATGAACTCTAAATACAACTGCCACTTAAAGTGGAGAGAGAAGCATCTGCCCTTGTAAAGAGTTGAATCCAAACTGAAACTTCCCTTATGTCCCTCCCTTTCAGTAAAGCTTCTGCCTTAACCCTCTGGCAGTTCTTGCCACTTCAGAGCTAGCAGGAGGGAATGTCTGAGAACTTGTAGCTGGGCAGCTTGTTTCACACACTACAAATGATTTTTTGTTTGCAATTGCAATTCCTGCAATTGCTTTGCCTCCTGCCCTGAAAAACCTTCTTCCTTTTCCATGCCAGGGAAATCCTCATGCTCCGCCTGAGAATCTTCATTAGTTTGGATCATACAACTCCTCCTCATCCCCTTGGTCCTCCACCTCCTCCTCAGAACTAGATGCAGCTATCTGAGCAACCTGTACTGAGAAAGAGACAGAGCCCATGTCTACAGAACCCACCCCCTTGCTCGGAGCCTGCTTTATTATGGGCCTCTTCTTTGTGGTCAACCATATTCATCATTATCCCATCAATGTGCCAGCAAAAGTTCCACTCGAAGACTCATCCTGCTACAATAGAAGTTCCCCCATGGCAGGGCCTTCTCGCTTGCAACCAACAGACCATTGTTTGGCTAGGTCCAGTGTATATCCAGCAAGCTATAGCCAGCAAAGAAAGAGTCTCTGAGCATGAACGAAGCAGTTCATTGAGCCCAAACTAGAAACAATATCTTTTTGAGTAAACCTGGGCCCCAACCCTCTGGGAATGCCCCTCTGGAAATGGGCAAACCTTCTAACAGGAGAGCCCTTCTCTCCCAGCACCACATCATGGTGCCAGGGTTCAGACCAGGCTCTTCCAGCTCCTCTTCCACATCCCCCATTGGCACTTCCAGATGCTGTCAGTTCCCAGGGTCTGCCTGAATATCTGAAGGTGACGGCCTTGAGATACGGTCTTCTGCCTCCCCAATCTCAATAGCTACAGGGCTCCTTTCCCAGGTGTCATGATCCTCATCCAAAGAGTGGTTTCACCCTGGCCCTGAAACACGTGCCCAGACCAACTGCCTCTTTCATGCCCAACATCCCACTCCTTCAGCAACACACGCTCCTCTGCCCCTCTGTTCACACATTTGAGGACTCTTGTCTTCCTTACAAGCTCCAGAAGAGATGCCAGTCAACTCACCGTGGGGCCTGGTGGCCCAGGTGGCCCTTCAGCCCCTTTCAATCCAGTTGGTCCCTGTGGGGTGAAACACAATGAAACAATTAGAGATGGGTCAAAATGGCTTGTGGATCTGTGAGCCAAGGTGGGTGGACTGTAGCCCAGTGGCAGAGCACCTGCTTGGTATCCAAAGGCCCCTGATTCTCCAGGTGGGGCTGGAAAAGACAAAAGAGGCAATACCAACCCATCAGAGATCACATGGCGACCATGGTGATGCCATGGCACCATGTTGCCCATAAGATTTTGAGATGAGGACAGCACTTCTTGAACTGGCAATGTGTGCATGGTTAAAGGAACGAATTCTCAACCAGAAAATGTGGTGATGGTCATCAACTTAAATGGCATCAAAAGTGGATTAGAAACACCGAGGGAAAGGCTTTGAATACCAGTTGCTACTGAGGTATTACAGCCAGGAAGGACTGTTGCCTTTTTGTCCTCTTTGTGTGCTTCCAAGAAGCATCTGAATGACCACTGAGGGAAATGGGACATTGTGTTTTATTTATCCCACCTATCAATATTAGCTGCATTTGTGTGGATTTGCTTCCATTTCACTTTGCAGTGCTTATGCTTATGTATTTTTCAGCCTCCACTCCTCTGCATGTTCCAGTTTCTAACATGCAGTCTCTTTGCCTGGTGTTCAAATGGGGAGCTGTGTCAAGGGATGTGAATTTGGCTATAGGTGAAAGAACCATGAATGCATTAAAGCATATGAGCAGAAAAATGGATCACAAGGTGGTTCACTGCCACCGTAGTTGATGAAGTTAACTCCCAAGGCATCTCAGTCAGGTTGGAATGGTGCCTGGATGGAATGGGCAATCAGGCACATGTTTGGGGATGGAAAAGAGGAGGGCACCCTCCTTTGATACATCTATCTCAGTTCAGCTGAGGCTTGCTGACCAACTTGTAATCAGGACTCTCATGCTTCTGGATCATCAACTTTGAACACTGTATTAGTGAGCCTCATCTGCTCTCTCTCCCTGGCCTCAGGAACATTAAACCTAAAGCAGCCTTCCTCAACCTGGTACCCTCCAGATGTGCTGATGGAATTCCCATCAGTTCCACATGGCATGGCCTTACTGACTAAGAATTATAGGAGTTCCAGCCCAGTACATCTGGAGGGACGTCGTTGGGGAAGGATGCCACTGTTACCTGAAGCAGCTATGCTGGGACTATCTTCTTTACCTCCCTGGTTGCTGAGAGCACACTCTGAGCCCAGGCTTATGATGACCTGCTAAAATATATCCAGGATTCTGCATCTCTGTAAGGTCGATCAACTCAAGAGGAATTCATTCATTCACCCTGATTTCCCTCCCGCAGAGGAGCATGAGAACTCCACCCAAAAGCCTGTCTAACCCAACATCATATCTCCAACAGCAGCTAGCCAGTGACCCTGTGCCTAGAAGGGCATGCAGTGTGCCTCCTTGTTGCTTGTCCCCTCCATAGTATCAAATATCCAGCGGGATACTGCTTCAGATATGGAGGTTGCATCCAGTGATCACAGGTAGATGAAACTGTAGATGCCCCAAAGCTTCTGTGTGACAAAAGTGCTTGCTGTTGCAGCAGCAGGCCAAGCGTCAGCTTCTGCTCCAAATCCACCATCTCCCAACCAAGTCCCTTTTCCCCAATGTGACAAACACGTACGGTCTCTCCAGGAGCTCCTCGTGCCCCTGTGAAGCCTTTCATTCCAGGAGGGCCATTTTTCCCTGGGGTGCCACTAGGTCCAGGATCACCCTAGAAGTAAAAGTCTGATCTTACTATTTATTTATTTATTTATTTATTTATTTATTGAAACATAGAAACAGAGTGAGTCAGAAGGGGCCTCCTGGGCCATCTAATCTGACCCCTGGCTCCTGTTGGCTCCACTCATTACATGCCTACCATGTGCATGTCCAGCCTTTCCTTAAACACCTTCACCAATAGGGCTTCAAACACCCCCCATGGAAGCTCATTCCATACCCCAGGGTACCTAACCATCAGGAAATACTTGTTTATATCTATCTCACCTTTCTCCCACTGAGGAACTCAAGGCGGTTATGTGCAGTTCCCAGGGGGGTCTCCCCTCCAAGCCCAGGCCAGCCCCAGACCTGCTTATCCTCAATATAGTGAATGCCTTATGTGCCTTCAGACCATACTCTGCGCCACAGGCAAAGTCCTACACAGGTACATTAGTAAGGCTTTGGAAAGCAAAACCTTCTTCTCTCTTTGCCCAGCTCCATAGGGAAATACATTTGTCCTTCCTGATGTGGAATTGCCTTGTTTGCCCCAGCATATTTTATATGTTGTCAATTGCTTCCATCAGTGGCCCTGCCAAGATGTTTTCCTGCAAGTGTCCTTGCTTATCATGGCCTTGGATTGTGCAGTTATTCAACTGATTTATACCCTGCCTCTCCATCCCAAAAATTAATGCTCAAGGCAACTAAGGCCAAGCATAAAATTATTGTAAGAATAAAACAAATGCATCAAATGCTTAAATAAAAACCTAACAATAAAATAAATAAGCTACTACTTCTCATGTAGTAGAATGAAGAATGCCCACTGCCCTGGAACTGAAAAAAAATGCAGCACTTTCTGAACTTATATGCAGCTGGTCCATTGAAGTTAATATGGATGCTGCCTTTTGGGAGAGGACCCTTGTCACTCATCCCCATCCCCAGGTGTAACCCAGATCCCTCCACTTTCTTCCAGCTACTCACCTTGGCACCTTCCCTGCCAGCAGCACCTGGCAGCCCTTGCTCTCCTGGGGGACCAGGGGAACCAGGGTGACCTCTCTCTCCCATGGGGCCAGTTTCTCCAGAGTTTCCCTGTGATGCAGAGAAGAACCAGCACCATTTAAGAGAAAGCTGGGGCAAAAAACCAGTCATGACTGGGCTAGAAAGAGTGAGGCATCACAAAAGTTTCCTTTGCAGCTATCATGGTGAATGTTGTTGTTAGTCGCAAAGTCATGTCCGACACATCGCGACCCCATGGACAACACTCCTCCAGGCCTTCCTGTCCTCCACCATCCCCCAGAGTCAACTCAAGCTCACACCAACTGCTTCAGTGACTCCATCTAGCCACCTCATCCTCTGCCGTCCCCTTCTTCTTTTGCCATCTATTGTTCCCAGCATTAGGCTCTTCTCCAGGCAGTCCTTCCTTCTCATTAGGTGGCCAAAGTATTTGAGTTTCATCTTCAGGATCTGGCCTTCTAAAGAGCAGTCAGGGTTGATCTCCTCTAGGACTGACCAGGTTGATCGCCTTGTGGTCCAAGGGACTCGCAGGAGTCTCCGCCAGCACCACAATTCAAAGGCCTCAGTCCTTTGGTGCTCAGCCTTCCTTATGGTCCAGCTTTCACAGCCATACATTGGAACTGGGAATACCACAGCCTTGACTATACGCACTTTTGTTGGCAGGTTGATGTCTCTGCTTTTTAGTATGCTGTCTAGATTTGCCATAGCTTTCCTCCCCAGGAGCAAGCGTCCTTTAATTTCTTGGCTGCAGTCCCCGTCTGTGGTGATCTTGGAGCCCAGGAAAATAAAATCTGTCACTACCTCCATTTCTTCCCCATTTGTTGCCAGGAAGTGGGAGGACTGGATGCCATGATCTTAGTTTTCTTAATGTTGAGTTTCAGGCCAACTTTTGCACTCTTCTCCTTCACCTGCATCAAGAGGCTCTTTAGTTCCTCTTCACTTTCTGCCATAAGAGTGGTATCATCTGCATATCTGAGGCTGTTGATATTTCTCCCAGCAATCTTAATTCCAACTGGTGATTTATCTAGCCCCGCCTTTCTCATGATGTGCTCTGCATATCAGTTAAATAGGCAGGGTGACAGTATACAGCCTTGCCGAACTCATTTCTCAATTTTGAACCTATCAGTGGTTCCGTGTCCAGTTCTCACTGTTGCTTCTTGACTCGCATATAAGTTTCTCAAGAGACAAATAAGATGGTCTGGTACTCCCATCTCTTTAAGAACTTGCCACAATTTGTTGTGATCCACACAATCAAAGGCTTTAGCATAGTCAATGAAGCAGAAGTAGATGTTTTTCTGGAACTCCCTAGCTTTCTCCATGATCCAGCAGATGTCGGCAATTCAATCTCTAGTTCCTCTGCCTCTTCAAAATCCTGCCTGTACTTCTGGTAGTTCTTGGTCCACATACTGTTGGAGCCTAGCTTGTAGAATTTTGAGTATTACTTTGCTAGCATGTGAAATGAGTGCAATAGTGCGCTAGTTTGAGCATTCTTTGGCATTGCCCATCTTTGGGATCCAAATGTAAACTAACCTTTTCCAATCCTGTGGCCACTGCTGAGTTTTTCAAATTTGCTGGCATACTGAGTGTAGCACTTTTACTGCATCGTCTTTTAAGATTTTGAATAACTCAGCTTGAATTCTGTCACCTCCACTAACTTTGTTGTTGCTCAGACTTCCTAAGGCCCATTTGACTTCACATTCCAGGATGTCTGGCTCGAGGTCAGTGACCACCCCATTGTGGTTATCAGGGACATTAAGCTCTTTCTTGTATAGTTCTTCTGTGTAATCTTGCCACCTCTTCTTAATCTCTTCTGCCTCTGTCAGTTCCCTGCCATTTTGGTCCTTTATCATGCCCATCATTGCATGAAACAGTCCCTTCATATCTCCAATTTTCTTGAAGAGATCTCTGGTCCTCCCTATTCTATTGTTTTCTATTTCTTTGCACTGTTCATTGAAGAAAGCATTCTTATCTTTTCTAGCTATTCTTTGGAATTCTGCATTCAATTGGGTGTATCTTTCTCTTTCTCCCTTGCCTTTTGCTTCCTTTCTTTCCTCAGCTATTTGTAAAGCTTCCTCAGACAGCCATTTTGCTTTCTTGCATTTCTTTTTCTTTGGGATGGTTTTAGTTGCTACCTCTTGTACAATGTTGCGAACCTCCATCCATAGTTCTTCAGGCACTCTGTCTATCAGATCTAATTCCTTAAATCTATTTGTCACCTCTACTGTATATTCATCAGGAATATGATTTAGGTCATACCTGAGTGGCCTAGTGCTTTTCCCTACTTTCTTCCATTTAAGCCTAAATCTTGCAACAAGAAGCTCATGATCTGAGCCACAGTCAGCTCCTGGTCTAGTTTTTACTGAGTGTATAGAGCTTCTCCATCTTTGGCTGCAGAGCACATAGGCAATCTGATTTCTGTGTTGACCTTCTGGTGATGTCCATGTGTAGAATCGTCTCTTGGGTTGTTGGAAAAGAGTGTTTGCTATGACCATCGTATTCTCTTGACAAAATTCTACCAGCCTGTGCCCTGCCAGAAGCAGGAAGCCAGACTTGCCTGTTATTCCGGTTATCTTTTGGCTTCCTACTTTAGCATTCCAATCCCCCGTGATGATAAGGACATCATTTTGGGGTGTTAATTCTAGAAGGTGCTGTAGGCCTTCATAGAACCAGTCAACTTCAGCCTCTTCAGCACCAGTGGTTGGGGCACAGACTTGGACTATTGTGATGTTGAATGGTTTTGCCTTGGATTTGAACTGAGATCATTCTGTCATTTTGGGGATTGTATCCCAGTACTGCTTTTCCTACTCTTTTATTGACTATGAAGGCTACTCCATTTCTTCGGAGGGATTCTTGCCCGCAGTAGTATACCTGATGGTCATCTGAATTAAATTCACCATTCCTGTCCATTTTAGTTCACTGATTCCTAAGATGTAGATGTTCAGTCTTGTCATCTCTTGTTTGACCACATCCAGCTTGCCTTGGTTCTTACATTCTAGCTTCCTATGAAGTATGGATCTTTGCAGCATCAGACTTTCCTTTCACCACCAGATACATCTGCAACTGAGTGTCCTATCGGCTTTGACCCAGTCACTTCATTCTTTCTAGCGCTATTAGTACTAGCCCTCTGCACTTCCCCAGTAGCATATTGGACACCTTCTGACCTGAGGGGCTCATCTTCCAGCGTCATATCTTTTTGCCTTTTGGTACTGTCCATGGGGTTTTCATGGCAAGGATACTGGAGTGGTTTGCCATTTCCTTCTCCAGGGGATCACGTTTTGTCAGAGCTCTCTGCTATGACCTGTCCGTCTTGGGTGGCCCTGCACGGCATAGCTCATAGCTTCATTGAGCTACGCAAGCCCCTTTGCCACAACAAGGCAGTGATCCATGGTATCATGGTGAATTGCCATGGACAATCCAATTCCTCCTTGAATTTGTTTGATCCTTTCTTTTCAAGCCTTCTAAATTAATGGGAAACACCGTAACTTGTGGCAATAACTTCCATATGGTATTGCATTCCCTGAAGGAGTAATACTGTTTCTTTTTCCTGGATCTATTGCCAAGGTAAATGTGTTGACCTCCAGTTTGAGTGATGAGAGGGTGAAGGAGTTCCCTGTCTTTCTATTCCCTCTCTAAACTGGAGGTATGTCACCCGTGGATGGACTGCAGCTGCCATCACCTTTGATCACCATCATGCTGGATGGAGCTGGTAAGCGTTGGAGTCGAACAACTGTCCTGTTCTGGACTTCCTATAGGCATGTTGTTTGTCACTGATGGAAAAGAATGCTGGATCAGACAGGAAAGTGGGCTGATCCAGCACAGCTCTTCTTAACTTCTGAGGGAAGGCAAGATTCCCCGTTCAGATCTCTGTGCTCCCTAAATTGTGTCTTTGCCATTTCTTTCCTGTCACCACAAACTATAAAAGTCACAGCCTCTTGAAAGAAAATAGGATCAACTTTCTCCATCATTCCCTGCAACTCCCATCCTCTCCAACCACTGGTGATGCTGACCCGGCTGATGGGGGTAGTTGGCAAAACATCTGGTGGGTTACAATTTGCCTGCCCTTGTCTGACTATTCCCTGCAGAGACAGGACTGGATGTACCATTGTTCTGCTCAAGCAAAATGATCTTACATAGAAGAATCCCCAAAGGACTGGTGTGTGTGTGTGTGTGTGTGTGTTTGCAGAGAAGCAAGGAATTCCTTAGTCCATCTCCAGCATCTTATGCCCTGCATCGCCAGCACTTTGGTTCCTCAAGAGGACAGTCTAACTGGGTTTCATTGATAAAAGGTGCCCTCTAGGCTGAAATTCCAGCATGAAGATGCTAGGGAGACTTCCAATGTGAAAACTGTCAGCTGACTCCCCTAGCCAACAGGCTCTGAGAAACCTCTGCAACCAAGATGGTTTCCTCAACCTGACAACTTTCCCCTATGATTAGTAGCAACAGTAGACTCCTCGTTTCTCACACAGCTGGTCAATTTGATATTTCATCCCACCTGACCAAGTCTCTTGCCTCTGGCCTTTTGACCTTTATCTCCCTGATCTGTTGCCTGACCTCCAAACCACCCATGACCATCTTTGACATAGCTGTAGCTATTCTCAGAGCTAGAGTGAGGCCTGGCAGAATGAGCCTGAAGCAGATGACCACACATGGCCTCTACAGTGAGGTTCAGAATCCCTTGTCAATGATCCCCCTTTGCCGTCCATTCCAGGTCAACTCTGAAATATTTTTCCAGTATAGTTTCTACTAATTATCTTTCCCATACTTGAGACATTCGACAGGCTGTGGAACTCTAGCTACCAGGTTGGCTTGCAAGCACAGAAACCTTTCTGCTGCCATAGCTTAAATGATTCCTTTGTTTATGAAAAATAACATCTTACCTGTGGTCCTACAACCCCAGCAGGCCCTGGTGGGCCAGTTTTGCCATGAAACCCCTGAAGCAAGGAGAAATGAAAGGTTAGAATTCAAAGAAAAGGAGGTGACACCAAGCAAGAAGCCCAACACAGATTTCCATTATGGTTCACCCATCCACTAGATAAATGAGACATCTGACATGTTTGCTGAGAAGGCCCTGATACATATTGCCCCACCTCTTCTTTAGCAGAGGTGCAACTGTAGCCCAGTTGGCCATTTTCCAGTTCAGAGGAATTGGTCACCTCAGAACCTCACAGAAAAAATGCATCTCATTTGCCTTCCTTCCAGCAAGAAGGTGGAAGGTGTACGGGAGGCAGTAGTAGACTTCTCACCCCTTAAGGAACAAAAGAGGAGACAGCAGTGATGTCTCATGCCAGGCAAAATCACTGAAAGGAAACATAAAGCCAGGCCTCTTATCTAGGGCAGGTTGGGGAGAAGGTAGAGCTCAAGATGTTCTGGACTTCAGCACCCAGAAACTCCTGCCAGAATGGCCAACAGTCAAGAATGCATGGAATTCAAGTCCCAGATATCAGAAGAGCTACTTTTTGCCTACCCTTTGCCTAGAGCACCAAAATGGCTTGACCTCAATTTGATACTCACTGGTTCACCACGCTGGCCTGGATGTCCTGGTAAGCCATCTTTCCCAGCAGGGCCCTACCAAACAGAAATATTTGATGGGAATGGGGATGGGGATGTCCATTTGCCCCAGAAATACCCCTAGAAGCTGTAACAAATCTTCCAAAGCACACAACTCAGAAAGTTCCAAGGCATGTTTTATGCCAAAAAGCTGAACCTGGCCAATAACTGCAGTGAACAACCACCATAAGAATGTCTACTCTTTTCCCTTCTATGGGTATGAGGTTGTTGTGGCTCTATTAAATAATAGGTGTTCCACCGTACAGCAACATATGTTGGGTAGCTTATGCTGAGCTAGAGCTAAAAACAACTATTTGTAATAGAGCAGCAAAAGTGCAGATGAGGCAAAGGAGGCATTAGGAAAAATGTGCAGTGTGGGACATGCACATCGCATATCCTTGAAGAGGCAGGTAGGGGTTCCACCACCAGTGTTCTGATCATGAACATGGGAGAAGAAGGGAGGACTGTGGAATCTGAAGGCAGCCCAGCAGAAGAGCTTCTAAATGAAGCTCAAAACTACAGAGATGGGAAGTGGATAGCTCTGGAAAGAGGGGGTCCTTATCACAGAGGAACTGAAAAGAACTACCTTGACCAATCCAGAAGATTGCAAGCTACTGAAATGTGAGAGAAATGTGCCTCACAATTTACATGCCTTTTAATCTCCTTTGGGCAATTAAATGATTAAGGGACAACTAATTGTAGAAAAAATAAAGATGGTGGGGCAAGGATTCCATTTCAGACAAGTTGCCTTAGCTTAAAATTGCTGAATACACATGCAGGCTTCAAATGGTTGAACATCTGGCTTTCATTGCAAACTTTTAGGTATGGTAAGGTGACACTTAAAAGAGTGATCCTTTCCCCTTTGGACTAAATGGGTTTGGATAAGGCAGAAGAGGTCAGCCAGCAGAGCCTCTAAATGGGAAAGGGCTAAACTAAGTTCTCTCTCTCTCTGCCCCTACACCCCCAAAAGATAAAGGGTTGAAAGTTGAGGACAAATCTTAAAATGTGACGTTCTTAGTTTCATAACTTTCTTGGGCATGTACTGTCATGAAATCAGAAGTCTTGATACAAATATGTAGTACTGCAAAGCCAACACATTTACAGAATAATTTATGGCACTCTGCAGTGTCCTATAATTTGAAGGCTGTTAAAAGGTTTGCCCATCTCTTGCTCCCAGAACATGCACCCCTTTCCCATTTGTAGGACAGTAGGTGACTGAGTGGATTTCGTCTTTGGACTAGAGATCAAACAGTGTTCTCCCAAAATATAGCAGTGAGTCTGAGACTTTAAAATCTTGTACATTCAGATTTGCATTCATACACATACACAGTGATGCACTCATTTCCTACCAGCACCTTGTTTTCAGTCAGTTTAATGGCTTTGACCTGAGCAGCTTCCTTAGGCTGCAGGCTTCAGAGCAGTAAATATATAAATGAGTTAATCCAGTCTACATCATACAAGGGAAGGCATTCCACTGGTAGGTGAAGTTTTTCAGGAACCCGCTTCTTAGAGAGCAATCTGACATCTGCCTAAACAAGCACAGGACCCTTAGGATGCCATTGAAAGGACTGTCTCTGCACTTCCCCCACTCAGCAAAAGGAAGCTGATTTTGGACATCTGTCTTTTCCTCCTGCTTGTGAGGAAGAGGGGTGAGGCACCAAAAAGATTCCTCAAATCCTGGCAGAACCTCTTTCACCCCCACCCCTTGAAACACCCTGTCCTACCCCTGCAACAGCTCCTGAGTCACACTTGTGACTTCAGAGTCACAGCATGTCCAGAGGGAACCACGCTGGCTGTGAAGGCAGATGAAGGATGCTCCAGGGTTGGACTCCCAGCTCCAACATTGGAAAACATTTTTGAGGTTGGAACCAGAACTGTAATCTAGGCTACAGCTGCCTAGATAGCATCTAATGTCCAAAGGATCATGCTCTGAGACACCTAGAATTCCTCCAAGAATTACTATTTTTCCTTTCCTGTAGCTTGAAGTCCAAGCTAATAGGGGTCGATGCTGACTTGTTTGTCTTCACACAAAGCAGTCCTAGTCTGGCAAAGAGAGACTATTCTTTCAGACTCTTTTCTCAGATGATGCTTTCATGGGCTTTGACTCTCTCTGCATATGTAATTCTAACGCAAACCTATACAGGCTAGACTGTAGGATGCTTCATTTTCTTGGCAACATTTTTCCACTTGTGTTCTAATCTTTTGTTCCTTACCTCCCCTTGTTAAAAAATGGACAAAAGAAATGTGGGATACTTACAGGTGGCCCTTTTGGTCCTGGGAATCCATTGGGCCCCTGTGGTCCAGTGGGCCCCTGTGGGCAGAAGGGAGAAAAAGCACTATGAGAAGCTTTGTCCAGTTTCCTTGTCAAACCTTCAGCTTCCTCCCTCCAGTTTACCATCACCATATCATGCCTTGGACTACTTCCAGCCTAAAGGCTCTATGTGTTAATCCTCAAGGACTCACCTGTCAGTACTGAGTGGGGGGTCAAATCAAAGTGTACATGTGCCCACTTTCTTGTACATATGCTACACACATAGCATATATTACATGCAGACATGAATGCCTCTGGTGCCCCATTGCATAGAAGAATCCTCTAGTTCATCCTCATTCTCCCTGCCTTGTGTGGCAGAAACCTGTGATCTAAAGAAAATCCTACCTGTCCTGGCTTTAGTGGCATGGCATGACCCTTTTTTCTGAGAAAGACATTAACCAAGGCAGCAAAATGGACTTTTCTGACACCTTCCCATCCTAGGCTCCCTTCAGAGAATCATAGAATGGTAGAGTTCAAAGGGGCCATGAAGGCCATCGAGTCCTACCCCCTGCTGTTGCAGGACATCATGTTACACCATCCCACTCAGGTGGCTGTTAAGTTTCTTTTTTAATGTTTCCTGCAGGGACTTCTCTTTCAACTTACCTTTTCCCCTATAGATCCAGGGGCTCCATCGTGACTAGAGTCACCCTATAGGAGGAAAAAAAGTGTGGTAGTGGCCAAAAAATTAAATCACCCTAGAGATCCTGACTACAATGGGCGTGGGACACCAGGATGAATGAATCTGCCATGCTTGATTCTGCTCATTTCCCCAAAGATGTTTGTACTGCCTCAACCCCAGATTGCATTGGTTTTAACTCTGCACGAAATTTTCTACATATTTTCACACTCATTAAAAACAAACACATTTATTGCATTGCTTCAGATATATGTATTTTTGTATACAACTTCATGGTTTAAAGCCATATGGCACCACCATATCAGACAAGCAAACAAACAAGCATTTTCTGCTATTAGGAATGCTTTGCAGAAATACATAACCCCTGCAATGAACCAGTAATGTTAAAAATACAAACTAAAAAAGAACTCCCCTCCATACTCCACTATATTTTTTGAGACATGGCTTATATTTTCTTAGTTGCCAAAGCCAGTTTTGCTGCTTGGGTGATAATGAATACATCCTTGCCTTCAAGGAATGCCCATGCCTGGCCCAGAAGCAATTTATTTGACAGGGGCCAAAGAATATAAAGAAGAAATTTTTGCCTACAGTGCTCAGATGAGAAGTTTCTTTAAAGTCAGCAGACTCACAAATGCAAAGTCTTTGGTAGGTTGGGATGCTACTGAATCTCCTGAAAATGCAGAGCTGTATGGAGTTGTAAGGCTGCACTGATGCTCTTCAAGGAGCCACAGTAAGGATTATAAAATAGTTTGCCAAAGCAATGTTGCTTTATATAATAGTTATTAATCCGAATAAGACATTGGTGCAATGGAATATAGCTCCCATGGCTTAGCATAAAGATAAAGGCTGCATTTCAACATCATGAGAATTCACCCCGGCAAAATCCAGGCTGAGCTGGTAGTCCTGCAAATAACCCATGGTGAGTCCCAGCTCAATGGTTTTGGGGTGGGACATGTGTATGTGCATGTCCCAGTCCAACACCCCCAGTACCCATTAAACAACACCAAACAAGATGAAACAAAATTAAATGAAACAAAGCAAAATGATGCAAAATGAAACACCCCTTTTTAAAGGTTCTGAAAGTGTTGACAACAAGCAGTCAAATCTCTTTTTCCCTTGAAAAATAAAGAAGGGAGTATATACTTGCATGTTCCTGAACACCTAAAGGCTTGGGACAAACCATGAACCTTGGTGTGAACTAAAATTGGTGGGGACTTCGGTATCTTGCTGCAAAAGGGGTTTAAATTCTACCTAAGCCACTTGAGGCAGCTAAATATAACTTCTTTCATGTTTTTCTTTTTTGGTGACACCTCATCTCCTGACAAGTTTCCAGAAAAAACAAAGCAGGGAAATTGTATTTGGAGCTGCTTCTGTGCAATGTCCAGGTTTTGTAAATATAAAACGTAAAATATAAATCCCCTCAGGACTAATAAATAAATAAATAAAACCATGGAAGTTTGCCTTCCCTTGCCAGATTGGAGACTGGGATTCCAGGAGGCTTAACCAAAATGGAATTTCCAGTGTCATTTATTCCTGCAGCAGAACCAGCACCCTGCAGAGGGCACTGAGAAATGCCCAAGACCACTTTCCCTGTAGAAAAAACAGAAATACCTTTGGTCCTGGTTTTCCAGTAGACCCAGGCAAACCACGCTCACCTGGAGGACCCTGGAAAGGGAAGCAGGGACATATACGTATGAAAGGAATCCATAAATGCCACATGGAGGTTTCACTGAACTATCTATATAACCCATGTTGAAGGGGAAAATACTGTTTGGTTTTCATATGCTCTTGATCTAAGCAACACATCTTCATGAACTTCTAGAGAACCAGGTCCCTCTTTCTCATTTTGGCATTTACTTGCTAAGCCCAGAAGTAAAGGAACCTAACCCAGAGGACAGTGTCTTTGTTGCTTCTTGCATAGCATGCATGCCACATGATGGGTATTTCAGTCGTATGCTGAGAACCATCAGGAATGGATGAGTGAACCTGAAGGTCAGACTTGCTAGCATGCAAGATCTGTAGGCAAGAGATGACATCAAAGTGCTTCTCCTTTCAAACCTGGCAGCTGGATCAGGATAATGCAAAATTTCACCCAAATCCAGAGTGGAGGGAAACATTCAGCATTCTGGGGGGCAGGGAATGTGTGTTTGAGTGTCAGATTGCACACTTAATCTGAATGTTGAAGAGTCTTTTTAGGTTCTTGTTGGTACAGTCATCTGCAGGTTTTCTCAGAACCGTGTCCCTCTGTGTTCATGTGACAGATTACCTGGGCTTCCTCCCAGGTAAGTGTGCACAAGTCTATGGAATAAGTTTCACTTAACACAATTGGATAACATATACATAGGATTGCACTGTAAGTGGAATTTCAGGTAGCAATGGTAATATCATCCTGTCAGATTCCTTCAAGTTCATTGGGGGGAAAGTGGAAGAAATTTCACTACACTTGGTTCAAATGATGCTTTCTTTTGCTGCATCCTTTGTTTCTTTGGATTCACTACTTGCCCCCATGTTTCTGGGATGGGCTCTAAAGTCTAAATCTATACAGCTCAAGTGTTTGCTTCCTTGGTGTATCTTTTTTCTACCCTTGATTTAGGCTTTTCTTACACTTAAGTCCTGCCTTTTTCCTCCAAGGTGGTTTACACAATCCTCCTCCTATTTTACCCGCATGACAACTTTGTGAGGTAGGTTAGGCTGAGAGGCAGTGGCTGGTCCAAAGTCACCCACTGAACTTAAAGGCTGAGTGGGGACTAGAACCTGGATCTCCTAAGTCTCAGTCGAGTGCTTTACCCACTAGTGCCTTTTTCAATCAGTATTTCCTTTTTCAATCAGTATTGTTTTACTTTGCTCTTAAGTGGGCAGTTGTGTGTTAGAGGGAGGGGATGGTGTGTGGATTTTAAACACAGTGAGCCTTGCTGGCCAAATGGAATTTAACTCAGCTGTACATCGACCCATGAAGTTGAACATTACATCTACATGAGAGAAGAATCCCACAGAGCCCTGCTTTGAATGGCTCACCGGGGGACCACGTTGTCCAGTCTGCCCAGCTTGGCCAGCTTTGCCCTAGGAAAGAAAAGAAAGAGATGTGGATGGTGAGACGGGGAGTAATACACACTCACACACACTCTCACAGAGAAAGGTTTGTATGCCGCTGTGCCTCCCCGTCACTGTATTTACTTTTATTATTCAGATGCACATCAAAGGTAACAAGGTGATGAACAGAGATATATTATGGTATTGAAAACAACACAACACACATGAGTAAACAGTGAAACGGCATACTCTACTGGGATCAACAAGCCATAGCTCCAGGAAAACTTGTGTAAAGAGATGTGTTCTTAAAAGACACCTGAATGTCAGATCTGCCTAATGCCAGTTGGGAAAGTACTCCAGACAGCAGGTGTTACAACACCAGCTGTTCTACTGCAAGGGCTTCTTGAGATGCCTCAAGGTCAAGGATGGGCAGAAGTCGATAGGCAGGCATTCTGGACTTTCAGTGTTCAGCATTCTTGGCAATTGGCTCCTCGGAGCTGAAGAACAAAACCTCTGGAGATTCAATTTCTGCCCGTCCCTGCTCTGGTGAGTGATGGTCTCAGTGCCCTAGAGTTAATCAGTCTGTCACGTTTTCTGCCATCCCTCATCCTGGGATAAAAGAGAGGCAAGTCAAGAAGCCCTGCTTGCTGGAGGTTGACATCTTCTGTTCAACTCACATTAACTTCTGATTCATCTTGCAAGCATGCAACCGCATTGGAGACTGAAGGGAGTTTGGAGTCGGGGGGGAGCATCGATTCAAACTAAATGATGTTTAGATGAAAGCCTCCCCTCACCCTTGAAATTAAGCCTCCTGTCCTGGCAGCCCTTACTCCAATCCCAGACGTTCAAGGGCTGGTTGTTGTTGCAGGGGAGAAGGGAAGGCACTCTACAGTCACTCCATCCTGGTTCATACATTCCAGTCCTACTTAATCCCTCACACTGGAAACAGGTTCTTGGGTGGAGCTGTGCATTAGATGGCACTTGTGTACATTGCAAGGCATGGGCCAGAAAACCACAGCATAGCTGGTGCTCTGGTAGCCATCTTTCTCACATGCAGTGAACATGGATTTGTACCCATTTGAACAAAAGTTATAACGGGAGAGCAGCTTAATCAGCACCATCACCAGTAGGACTAGTGCCATCACAAGGCTTGCAAAGTAAATCTATACCATCTTAGATGGTGACTACAGGGATAAGCCCTGCTATATTCCACAGCCTACCTTAGTTCCCTTTTCCTATTGCAACTAGAGAGTGGTATTTCTATTTTGTGCAAATTTTGCTGAACCCATATGGTCTGTTCCCCTGGGACAACTAAGATTACTTCTAGCTTCTTTCTTTAGACTGGGGATGGTGACTGTTATAATCTGACACATCTGGAGGACTGAGGAAGGCTAGACTGCTCAGCTGCAAATATGAGCTGGTACCAGTTGGATTTTCACAACTGCTGTTTTTCTCTCACTTGCTTTGGGGTAAGGGGGTCAACCAACTGGTCCTTTCCTTCCTCAGCTGGATCTGCCTTTCACCTGTGCACCCTGCTTTCATTTTTCCTTTTTCAACTCAACCTCCAATTATTTTTTGTTCAGCTCTCAGCTTGGCCTCTAGCTGGTCCAGACAAAGAATCAGATCAGCATTGAATCTGTGTCATGACCTTTATGGTAGCAGCAAATTTTCTTCTGTGGAACAAACAGGAGCCTAGGTAGAGATGAGAAGAAGGCATTTTGTCTAGGAAAACATTGGGCCAGTTTGCACAATTGCAGCAAAGGAAAAAGGTTGTAAGGACTTACTGTCCCTACCACACATGCCAGTTGTGTGCTGACCAGAGTTTCCTACTTACTCTTGTTCTCAGGTGTGTCATGTCCTCTGAACCTGGGCCACATGCCTGTGTTGGGGTGGGGGTGGGGGGACAGCAACCCTCAGATAAGCCAACAACAGCCCTAAACAAGCCATGCCTCCCAGCTCCGGATGACATGGCTAATCAGACCAGCAAGGCTAATTACAGAGATCCAAGTGGCAGAGTTAACAAGCCATCATGGAGGATGCAAACCAGGTCACTAGGTGTGCAGGTCAGGTGGAGTTCAAATCTCACTGTTACAATCCTGATCCAAATTGCTGTCCTGCAGCTGCTACCAACACTGAAAGAAAACCTCCAGGGGAACCACCTCACAGATCTCCCACATCATTTTGTTTGACCTTCCATGTGTGATGTGTGACACTGACAAGACCTCACCCACCACCAAAGGGAAAGCTAAACTGATACTTGATAGGTACGTATGTATATCAAGCCCTTCACTCATTTCAAATGTAGAATATAAAAGGTAAGCACTATTATAAATTAGACACCTGTGAAAAACTCAACATTTGGAAGGCTGATATTCAGGGGTTACTGAAAACTCACTCTTTGAGGACTGGAAAAGCCAAGAGGGCTGTGCCAAAGCCCCATTGCTTGCCACTCAAAACTAGATCAGTCTTTGAAAGCCCATATCTGAAAGCTGCACTCGACATGAACAGTTGCAGTCTGAGACTTGGTCTCCTTAAATGCACTTCAACTCCCACAGATACTAAGTGGCCTGTTTTTCTGCTCAGGACAGCGGCTTTGTGGCTTTGCTGCAATTTACACTGGGAGTGAGCAGAGTCACATGCAACAGTGTAGTGGAGCCAGGACTCAGGGGGACAAAGCCCTGGAGTTTTTTGGCCAGCAGGGGCCATGAGGTCACCTGCTACCCACCTCAGACTTCCCTATTCTCTCTCTGCAAGCTGCAATCCTCACCACAGCAGAGGAGAAATGGATTTTCCAAAGATCTCTCTATATCATTGTGACCCATCCCTGTTATAACACAAAGTCTTTAGGTGGCTTGTTCTCGCATGTACAATGGCAGAGCTGATTTGTCGATATGGATGCCACTAGGAGATGGGGCTTTAGGAACTGTCATGATGAGCACCCACACTGGAGAATTAACCACTGTGCCACAACTCATGCTGAGTAACATATAATATCTTATATGGAAGCCTTGGCTGAAATCTTTGCAAACTACAAATGTAAGCGGTTTGAGAGCTACCCTGTGATACAGTCCTAATGGCCACACACCCAAACCTCCCTTATCTTCCTTCCTGCCCACATGCTGGCAAGCCCTGTGGGCACCTTCCCCATCTCTTGCACTTCCAAATATATCCCCACAACTTCTCTCTGCTTCACTCACTCGTTTGCCTTTTTCTCCAAAGAGGCCAAGTGGCCCTGGGAATCCAGTTGAGCCCTGTGGAGGAACAAATGCACTCAGTACAGCAGATGGCGACCAGGGCATGAATTCTTTCTCTCTATGCCAGAATTGCTCTCACACCTACCTTAGGTCCCTGGCGGCCAGGGTAGCCTGGCAGGCCTGGCACTCCCAACTTTCCCTGCAAAAAGAGGAGGAGATCAAAGACTTCATGCTTTTAGAGAAAATGCTAGACAAGTTCTTCTAAGTCAGGGGTCTCAAACTCAACTTCCCTGGGGGCCGCTGGAAGCAGAGTCTGGGTGAGGCTGGGCCGCATCAAGTATTCCACCACCGCGGTGGTGGTGGGCCACTCATCCCGCGGCCAGCCCAGGCGCCGCCGGCACTTTGAAGGCTGCAGGGCCCCTCCCCCGTGCCCTGCCTGGCCCGGCAATTGGCCCATGGGCCGCGAGTTTGAGACCCCTGGTCTAAGTTGTGGGGGAAAGAGCTGTACTGTTAAGGCACAGGTGGGGAATGGCTTTCAGCCCAGGGCCCGGATTCCATTGTAGAGACATTTGCAGGGGCCACATAGCAGTGGTGGGTGTACTGAAGGCAGAGAAGGGCAGGGTCATAAATCCAGGTCATTCTAGCTTGAGACTGTTATTGCTAGTAACTAAGCACAGATGAAACATTTCCACCTAACAGAACGAGGGGAAATCCAACAGAAAAGCCAAAAAACCACCAAATATTTGGTGGCCAGGGGGAGGCTGGAGGAAGCACACCCTGGAGAGATGGATTGGGACCTTTGGAGGACCCAGTCTGACTTCCCATCTGAAGTTCTGCACCACCTTAGTAAGGGAAGGGTACACAGTTCAGGGGTTGAGCACCTGCTTTGCATACAGAAAACCCCAAGCTTTATCCCAGGTGTTTCAAAGATTTGTTTTAAAAACAACCAGGTTGCAGGTGATGGGACCAGACAAGTGATGAGAAAGGCCCAAAGGTCAGCTGCCAGTCAGAGCAGACAATACTGTGCCAGGTGAACTAATGGCTTTCTAAGTTTCTCAAAACAGACACACGTAGGTTGGTGGGACTGTTGCTCACCTTCTCGCCAGCGGAGCCAGGAGGACCTGCTTCCCCAGCAGGGCCTGCCTGCCCTTTCAGCCCCTCAGGGCCATCCTCACCACGTATTCCCAATGGGCCAGCATCGCCCTGCAAACAAAACAAAGGAGTTAAGAGAGTGCCCACTAGTGGCAGTTGCAGAATTCTGCCATAAAAAGTATTCTGAGGTCAGTACTACAGCTGGAGGAAATTTAGGAAAATAAGACTTGTGAGAGCTTGCAGCTAGCTGCACAACTTGTTATAAGGGAGAGGTGCATTTTGTAAAGTTTTATTAATTCTTAGGTATTAATTAAATAGGTATTTAATTCATTCTTATTTAATAATAGGTATTTTATTAATTCTTAGGTAACAATTAAAGTGGAAGCAGAAATCAAGCATGGCAAGTTTGACCCTCAGTTGATCAGACTGCTTCCTTCCATGTCATCTTAGTGGTGGGCAGAAGAAAGATCTCCAGAAATCTTGGACTTCAACTCCCAGAAACTGCTACCAGCAAAAGGCTGGTCAGGCATTCTGGGAGCTGAAGTCCAGAACATCTGGAGTTCTTCTTTCTGTCCTTCCCTAACCTAAGTGATCCCATGTCAGTGCAAGCCACACAGTGCCCTTTGGATTTAGTATCAGGAGATATATTTTGTGATATGGGGGAACCATGGGAGCATCTAAGGCTTCAGTCCCTGGCAAGATGCAGGCCATCTGGCTGTGGATCAATCCTGCTGTTATCACAGTCCATTCCCCACTCCCCACAGCCTAACTGAGGTGTCATAAGGAAGAGCCTTCTATAATCTCCACAACTCCCTTAGAAGAGCAGAATACTGGGAAGAGTATCACTCACCCGATCACCTTTTGGGCCCATATCACCTTTAAAGCCGGGGAATCCATCTTCACCCTAGAGAGAAACAAGGGATTGATGTAACCAGAGCAGTAGAAATGTCCACATATCAAAATCTTGCCAGGTGGAACAACAAGCTTGCAGTCACATTGCCAAAGTCCACTCAGTATGGTGCTCAAAGACCCTTCCTGTATAACTGAAAGCTATACTTAGAAATCAGGCTAACACCGTAACTCCTCCAAAGGACCAAAACTAAGCTTCTGCCAAAGGAACAGATGCCTCGGCCACTCAAGTGCTGTACAAGGATGCTTGGAAAGTGGTAGAACATTCCATGCTGCTTCTTTTGGTGGTGGAGGGAGATTGCTCAGGTTCTGATTAATTCAAGAGTCGGGTATAAATGTCCTATTTAAGGACAAATGGCTGGCAAGTTGCTAATAGGACTGCTTGCTCAGCTTGTTTGCAGATAATTCAATTTCAATCCTTCTGAAAGGATTCCCAGTTATACGGATGGTTATTGAATATAAGGACTTGAGAACAGAAGCAAGGCAAGTTGGTAGCTTAACTTCATTACTGTAGAATGTGTAAGCACAAAATAAATTCTCGACTTCTTTAAAAAGTATTACCCCATAGTCAGACTTCAAATGTCAAACTGGAAAAAGTTTGAATTTTGCAACAACAGATTCTGAAATTTGGATGGATTTCAAATGTCTTCAAGATCTGATCTTTGCTACATAATATTTTCCAAATGAGGCCTGCTTGACCACAGGACCTTTGATTCTCAATTTAAAACAAACAAACTGATGTATCAGAGCCCTAGGAATGGACCAAGAGGCCAATCATCCCCATGTCCATTCCATCCCAACACAGGCTTTCTTCTCCACAGGTTAAATTTACATAATCTAGAACATAAGTGCACCAAGAGCAATATCCAGAGATTCAATGAAATCCCCAAGATCCCTTGTCTAAAACGAACAGTTGACATTCCTGCTGGAAACTTACCTTCTCACCTTTGCTGCCTTTCAGGCCCCTCACTCCAAAGGCCCCCTGTGTGAACACAGAAAGGTATGACAGCGTTAGAGAGATGGGAAAGGAGCCAGCAATTATGACTTGCAACAGAAGCCCTGCTCATAGGTGGCCTGGAAGTCATGTCAGATCTGCTGTAATATGGGAAGGCACCAAGCCTTAAAGGAAGGGCCAAGTTGCAAGGCAAGAGATTCTGAGGGCTGAAGGTAGGTCCTCTGGTGTGTTGCACAGAAAACCTTACCTAACCCAGTCCAGGTGATACTTGCTTGGAAGTAGATACCATTGATTTCAATTATAGTTACTTTGAAGCAGGCATACTTAGGATCGCAAATGTAAATTGAAGAGTGTGGGCAGGGGAAGGGAAGAAAGAAAATCACCCCAGAGTCTCATTCTGGATTAATAGAAGTTAGCAGGAGGTGACAAGACCTACCTTGACTCCACGGGGACCGGGGTAGCCAATTGGCCCTGCTGCACCAGATGGACCCTGGAGAAGAAAGGTTTTTAAGAGATATACCCCCCCTTTAAAAAATGAGGATACTAATAATGTGATTTTGATATTTTAGTATGGCAGAGGGGACACGTCCAAAGAGAAGCCACCTCTAGGTTATTGCCTCCTTGGCATGTACTTCTGTCTGACAGACTCACATCTTTACCTGGACTCCTTTCTCTCCAGGTGGCCCTTCTCTTCCAGGATGGCCCTGAAAGGCAGTACCAGAAAGACACAGTTGGATAATGCACCTGCTTAGAGAGATGATGATGCCTGATTAAAGAGGCCTCACCCCTCTACAAGGAAAGCCATCAGACTGGGAAGAGGAAGAAAAGCAGTTCTCAATCCTTGCTGCTCCTGTTGATCCTGTGAACATACGATCTATTGCATTGAAAGTGAGCATCAGTAGAAGTGCTTTTGTGGGTGGATGAGAATTCTCTTCTATTTGAGGTTGGTTGCTTTTTCCTCTGTGTTCATTTATGGGAAAAATGGGGGAAAGTGAATGCATTTATCTTACACTGAAGACCAGAGTTCATATCTGCTTCTCTTATATATATGCGTGTGTGTATGTGCGTGCACACAAGCATGCATATATGTATATTACCCCCCAGATGTTGCACCTGCTGCAGGAGGTGGCAGCCACTGTCTTCTAGATACTAGGTTTGTGCACAATTAGAATATCACTGATATTTACCGGAGGTCCGTCAATCCCAGCCATTCCTGGTATCCCTGGTTTTCCTGGTGGACCCTGCAGCAGGGGAAAAAGAAGAAAAGCAAAGTATTATTTGAGTCCTGGCTTTCTCAGAGCAGGAATCCCAGGGCAGTGCACACATTTGACAAATCAAATTATATATAGATATATATATATATTTAAAAAACCCTTAGGAGCATAAGAAAAGCCCTGCTAGATCAGGTTGAATGTTCATCTCATCCAGCATTCTGCTCACACAAGGAGCAAACAGCTGCCTGTAGGGAACCCACCAGCAGAATGTGAATCAACAGCATGCTCCATCCATGCTTCCAGCAAATGGTATACATAACTGTAGTGCCTGCCACACGGGAGGGGGCATATAGCCATCATAATGGGGAGCCATTATTGCCTTATCCTGGATTAAATAGTGTAATTCCCCCTTTAAAGCCATCCAAATTGGCAGCCATCACTACATGCAATCACAGAAGATCAGCGCCCTCCCTCCATCCACTAAACATGAAGAAGGCAACAGTGCCTTCTCTAAGCAACAGTGCCTTGTGCCTAAGGATATGCCAGTGTAGCTTAAAGATCCCCCAGTCCAAAATGTCGTGTCCCCTCTCTGCATTTTCCCCATCAGCTTCAAGAAAACAGTTGCATGGATTTCATGGTTAAGCTAAGCATAACTCACCTTTTCGCCTGGAAGACCGACGGGACCCTGGGGACCAGGCAGCCCCTAGGAAAGAAAGGAGCCTTAGCACAGATAGGAGAAAGAGTACAAGAGTAGAAGGGAGGAGATGACTCTCATACATTGTACATTCATGACTTTTATGCAGGTGAAGAGACACATTTAACCCTTATCAAGCACTGAGGCTGCTGTAGAAATATACTTCCAGCATATTTATTTCGCATGAGAATCAAGCTTTGGGGGCAAAGGGGGCTTCAAGCAGAAGCCAGCTGTGCTGGGCACTGATGTGCTGGTCCCTGTGATGTCACAGAGGAGGGCTTTTCCTTTGATCTTCAAAAGCAATTTATAAAGAAATCTATTCCCCGCCCCACACACACACACACATGCAACACTTTCTTTTTTAAGTGACAGTAACAATAGAGCATGCTAGATGGAGTCACTGGGACAGTGGACATGAGCTTGGGTGGACTCTGAGGGATGGTGGAGAACAGGAGAGCCTGGAGGAATGTTGTCCATGGGGTCATGATGCATCAGGCACGACTTTGTGACTAACACACAACACAACAAATGAACATAGGTCTATTCAAGTTGTACTTGGGGGGGGGGGGGGGAAACAGCTGCATTGTCCATTTGAACCACAGTAGGAGGGCTGGAGAGAGGCAAGTCCAATGAATTAACAAGCATTCAGTTTGTTTGTTACATTTATATCCCACCTTTTTTCCTTTCATGGAACTTAAGGTGGATTACATGATTCTCCTCTTCAATCTTATCCCACAACAACGATCCAGTGAGGCAAGTTGGGCTCAGAGTCTGTGTATGGCCCAAGGTCACTCACTTGGCTTCAGAGCTGAGCAGGAACTAGAACCCAGATCCCCAGAGTCCCTGTCCTGTGCTCTTAACCACTGCACCACGCTGGCGCTCATGTTTACAAGTATGCATGCCTGTATTTTCACCTTCAAAGACAGGATGACACAAGGCTCCCACAGAAATTTAGGAGGGCTTTTGGGATCTTTGTTTGCAATCCCTGCTTGCCTTCACCCAAGGATCTATCAGGACCAAGCTTCCTTCCAGGGGCTAAGAGCAGCCAGCGGGTGGCATTTTCATCAGATCCATGGTTGGGAAGGAAGGTTAACCCCCACATGCTGCAGACCCAGCAAAAATCTCTCTCTCCCCACACATACGCACCTGATATAGCCTTGAAAATGCAATGAAAAGGGGGAAAATCAGCAGCAAGTGATGTATTTGGCATGCACACAAACACACTCACACATGCAAACACACCACATAAACCACACATACCTGTGCGCCAGGATTTCCCTGCTGCCCAGGTGGGCCTGGCTCTCCCTGAATGCCCTGAGGACAGAAAATCCCAGTCAAGTTAGTATTTTGTGCATGTACAAAGAGGCGCATCTGTCAGAGGGAAAGAGACAGGCGTATGTACCTTCTCGGCAGTAGAATATAAGTGAAATTGCTGGAGGGGACAGGGATTCCGAGAATGACAGGCTTGGAAAATGGTAAGAACCAGTTCCTTAAGCATCTGGGAATTTGGTGCTGTACTGCTGTTGGGCTGCTTTTCCATCCTCTTAACCTTTCAGCGGTTGTCTGATTGATCACACAGGAGAAGCTGAGTAGCACTTTCCCCAGGATTAATCATTCTGTACACAGACCAGGAACTGCCCCTCACTTCCCTATTTATGTATTTATACATAAATAAATGCACTGATGCATTTGTCATCATATGTATTTATCATGGCAGACAAAGACCATTTATGACTCAACCAGAGTGTGTGGACACTTACTTTCCACTCCACTGAAAACAACAACAGTGACAAAAGGAACACACACACACACTGTTTGACCTAGCAAATAGCAGCATCTACCTTGTAGAATATTTAGGGCTACTTAGGCCACAATTCAGCAAAAAGATAACTCTGTGTTAAATTGTGTGTCTCATCTTCAGAATGAGTGATCTTTCCTAAAATGTTCTTCCAAGCAGAGAGAACGTGAAACTCCATATATAGCTCCCTTGTCTTTAAGTAGACATAATTTTGTGGTGCAGATGGATGTGGCTTGAATGACCAAAGATTTGGAATCAGGTTTTTAAGTAGTACGAAATCTGCATTGAGTTGCAGAGCACTATGTGTTAACCATTACAGAAACCACTTAGTATGTACTCTTGCTATAGCAACCAGTTTGGATATGTTCAGGAAATACATGGATTACAAAATAGAAAAATTGGCTTAAATCAATCCTTTTCTATCCATGATTTATAATTTAATTAAATTGATAATGATAAGGAGGACAAGGAAGATGAAAATATTTTCCACCCTTCATCCACCTTACCACATACTACTGCACAGCACTATAAATGTACTCACCTCTCTCACCTCTTTAAAGCTCAATAAAAAACCATAAACCCTAAAAGAACAATGGCTCAGCTGTATTAATTTTCTTTTTCGGATTTACAGCTTCCAATCAAGGCCACCAATTCCTTAATAAAGAAAAATAAAGGATAAAATCTGGGTCAAATCTGATAAAATTTTGGTTGTGTTTGAACACTGTCTGTCTTGGCTCGTTAAGATGAGTTTACAAAATCAAAATTAAAAGAATGGTTTGTGATTTGGTGTATTCTTGGGATGCACTACATGGTGCAGCTTCTTGCTTGATAGGTAAGTCTTTACACTCGATTGGATTGGATTGGATTGGATTGGATTGGATTGGTGTAACTATCAAATGAATATTGGAGGGCTTAGAACATTGCTTAATTTGCAGAATGGTGCCAAAATTAAAGCCAAGTGAATTACGTCCCCTGAAAGCCACTGTCTATACTCCCTTACCAAATTGCCTTTATGTCCAGGTGCCCCATCAATGCCGCTGACACCCTATGGAGTGAAAACAGAACAAGAAGAGCACAAAAGTCACCAGAAGTTTCCAGCTGAAAACAAGGACAAAGAAATGTGGAAATGAACCTCAAGCCCATTTAAACATCTGTTCACATTTTTCACAGGTCCAAAACTAGTAGATTCACATTCTAACCTCAGGATTCTATCTCCATTTGGGGAATATATTTCTCAGAACTAGATGGAAGGAGTGTCACAGAGATCTGAGTTCTGTCTCTTTGGATGTTACATTTTCAGCCTCCTGGGATGAATCTATAGTGCGTACTTTTACTGGCATTGTAACACATGATTCACTCAAACAAGTTTTATATGAGGCACATTCCAAACTGGTTTCCTTGTGCTACTTCTGCCATTATATCCTAAATTTCTTCCAACTGCTTTGTCTGTTATATTTCTCCATGGTATATTTTTCAGTGTGTGCTAAACTTGTGGTACTGTTTTGGGGTTGAGGGAAGCAGTGGCACTGGTAGGTTGGGAAGGAATGGTACTGCAAGAAGTGTCCTGTTGGGCTTCTTTTAAAACAGTTTTCCCTAATGTGAAGGTACAGAGATGCAAATCTGTGAATAACACAAACATCCTACATTGCTTCAGGTTTTGGGTAAGGAACAACTCTAACAATTTTCTGAAAGCCAAAGTTCTGAAATGCAAACAGCATTCATATGCTTTCAGTTTTCCTGCCAAATGCAATTCTTTATAGCCATCAAATCACAGAATAGTAGAGTTGAAAGGGGGCAAGAAGAGCATAGAGTGTAACCCCCTGCTAGTGCAGGACACCAAGTTATACCATCCCTCTCAGATGACTGTCTGGTTGCATCTGGAATGCTTCTAGTGTGGGAGAGTGCACATTGGTTCCATTGTTCCACTGATGGAGACATTGCAGGGTTCCAAGGGAGGAGAGGTGAGTTAGTACAATCCCCTGCTTGAACTCTGGGTCCTACCCTTGCATAGGAAGGGAAGAGGGAAGGGAATACATACTGGGGGGCCTGGAGGGCCTGGAAAACCCCGTGAGCCAGGCAAACCACGCATGCCCTAGAGGAAAAAAAAGAAGATATATGCATTAGTGATATCTAAGTAATATGCTTTACAGATCTTGTAAGAATCTGAGGGTCATTCCACATGATCCCAGAAAAGTCCCCAAGTCTCCTAAGAAATAAGTCAACACTTAATCTTCATTGAACCACTCCTTTAACAAGCCTTGATCCATCCAGGAAGAAATATTCAATCAGGGAACTATCTCTGCTCTTTCAAGATAATTATTTTTGTAAACTATCACTGGATGAACATTTCAACAATGGGGTTGTGAAAGAACATGGATAATTCCCCAGTTTCTGTTTTACATAATGATGGTGCTGTTGATGATGAATGCTTTGATGTTTCCCTTTCCACTTTTGACAAAACAGACACCAACCCATGGATGTGAAGGGTATTCAAGTAAATGTACTCATCATGGCAATTGCTATGACAATTGGTGCCTTATCCAGGGGAAGCAGACACTCTCCTCAAATACAAAATATTTATATAGGTTGAAACAACTGGGTTGAAGCAACTATACTTGAGCCTAAGAAAGGGATGAGTATGGATTGCTGTTGCTGAAATGTGAGTTGTTGTTAAAACATGAGTTATTAGGTTGCCTGAAACCAGCTGCTCTAACAACCATGGTGAACAATCCACAAAGCAACAACAAACCATGGGCTCTCTTCATGGGTTGTTCAGAGTTAATGAGCCATTGCCTTTTAGTGCATCTGGCTTCAGAGAACATGACACACACACAACTTTTTTTATGGGGGATGAAGCCTACAACCTGAAGAGGTACGGTCTAGAAAGAGTTTTACTGCTCAATTTTCTTCATTTTTTAATCAAGAAAAGACCAACAGCAGATGGAAATCTCCACCATGCTGTGTTTACAAATTCTCTGGGCACTTCCCTTTACCCAGTATCAGAGACAGAAGGTGAGAGTTTGGGGATAATTGATCCAGCCCAGTATCGTAACTCTTTTTAGATATTTTAAACAGAGAAATATTTGCAACATTAAAAGATCTGAAAGAGTTGCTGCCTTTCCTCCCCCATATATCAAACATAGTCTTAAAAGACAACAAACAAAATATTAAAACCTTGTATCATCTGCCTCACCTTGTCACTTTTATTTTCCAAACTCAAGATGTTAGTGTTGAGAGACATATGATGGTTATTGCTTTAATGTAAGAGTTGGTTGTTACTTGTAAGGTAATAGCACACAGAAGCTTATGTACTCATATTTCAGCAACTGTTCAAACATAGATGGTTTGGAGAACAGACAGAAAAAAGTGCTGAATGGATGCATTTGTGTAATATAATATACCATCTCTTTTGAATTATAAAATAAATCCTCTGATATAGCCACTCTAGAGCTGTTTATGATACTCTGCCTGTACCTGCCTTTTCACATTCAGGTTTCAGCAAATCCACAAGAGGCTTTCCCAAAGATTCTCTGTCTGCCATCACCACCCCACAAACACACTAATGTGCTTAGAAAGAAAAAGTCCTGCAATTATGCATCCTGAGGAATGCTGTGGAATGTAGGAACCCTTTGCTCTCTAAGCATGCTTAGGCTTGTGCATAGAATTGTGAACTCTGTCCCAGCAGCTGGTTCTCATGAATTTGGTGTGCAGGTACTCACAGCTTCCCCAGGCTGTCCTCTGGGGCCTGGCTTCCCTTCGGAGCCCTGCAAAAAGCAGAAGGTCGGTGTAAGAGACCACCCCAGGAGCTCAGCTTGTGTTCATTCCTGCCACCTGTGTCTTCCTGCCCTGGCTACTACACACCCACCAAGGGCAAAAATGCCAGTGAAAAAAGTGTGCACCATAACTACGGGAAAGAAGCAACATGAGGGCTCCAGCCACACGGGGGAGGTGGTAGTCTGTAACTTTCAGCCCATAAAGACTGGCTGTCACCACCACGCTCAACCTTTATATGTTTCTAAGGGTTGATGGTTGCATTGCTTGTCCAGAAGAGCTGACTGTAGTTCCAGCTAACTGTATGCTTGTACGTTGCATTTCAAAGTTCTCATGCATACAGCAACGCTTGTATGCTTCCTAAGCTTTCTACCACCTGGAAGCTGTCTTTCACAGTGACCCCTCTTCTGCAGATCACAGGTCTGCTGTGGAGTTCTGGCATGCTGCAGGGGATTCCGGGACTCATCCTGAGGCATGTGGTCCATTCATGCTAAGCACCACCCAGAAGCAACCCAGCCACAGGGCCAGAAAGCTACAGAGCATGCCTAATGTTATTGCAGATTGCAAGGGGAAAACCAGCCACAGTAGTCAAACTGCCCGTTTGCCACAACCAATCTCACTGCAGAACCCCGGATAAGCTGGAATGCCAGCTGAAAACCCACAGATATAAATTATGATAAAGAGCCTGCCCTGCAATGCATAATGTTTTTTCTGCTCTAATAAATCTGTGAAATGAGCCCACATATTGAACGAAGTGATTCTTTTCAACCTTTCCTCTTGAGATTTAATAAACTGTGCCAACTCAACTGTCCTGACAATGTCCTAAATCTTTTGTAACCACTTAGCTCTGTTTAATTCTCCCATGCCTTTATTGTTCCAATAATTATCTATAATAATTCAGAACAACGCAATTCAATGGAGAGCAATTCAGTGTCTTTCTGGGGCAGCCTTGCCACCAGAGTGGTTAAATTGCAACCCTTACTGCCCCGAGTCAGCAAGGCTATTGGCTGGGCTGGATGTGGATGATGGAAACTGTAGTCCAACACTTCTGGAGAACACCAGAGCAAGGAAGGTTCTTCTAGGGAACAATAGTCCTCCCATCTCTAAAAGAAAATACCAATGGTCCCTGGTTACCTGTTTCCATTCACCTGCTCCTTGGAGCAATGCTTACCTTAGCACCGTTTTCACCAGGAGCACCAGGTGGGCCTGGCTTTCCCAGATCTCCCTGTTTAGGGATAAAGTGAGGAGTGAATTAAGATGGTATCAAGGATAGCTGTCACTGGTAAAATAGATATTTGGATGTACTCACCCGGTTCCCTTTTTCTCCTGGAAGTCCTGGCAGCCCATCAAAACCCCGGTCACCCTTTATACAAGTAAGAAGACAAACAGCATCAGTATCAAGAATGATGTTGCGGCCTTATGGCTTGTGAGTACCTCTGTCTGTATTCAAAATGCTTCTACCCAAAAAAGGAGAGGAAAAATCACAAACGGTTTTTCTTTCTCATTTTTGGCATCTGTCTCATTGTGTAAAAAGCTTTACTGCAACAATCACTTTAATCTTTACAGTAATCAGGGAAGGTAAGAGTAAAGAGGATGGAAACAGTCATACATGTATTCATATGGATGGCATGGGGTCAGATCAGGGATGCTATGCATAATGAAGTGTTTACCATCTTTAGATCGAGCCTTCAAAGTAAGGGTACAACAGCAATGGTAAAAATCACTGTCCAAACAAATGTTCTGTGAAAATGAGAACCTTAAAACAAAATGTGGGCTATAGCATAAGGGACTGAGATCATCACAGTTTTCAAATATATTTTCTTAAAAAGCTAAAAAAATCATGAAGTAGTGGTAAGGAAAAGATGGCTTTTCTGATAAATCCATCCCATTTCTAAAGGGCTTCATGTGCAATTTCTGATTTAAAAGGAAGAGGAGTATTCCAATTCCATAAATAGTTTTAGGATGCAAACCTTTACACGTTTAGATAGAAAAAAATCCCACAATTCCCAGCATTCCCCAGCCAACCATGATGGCTAGAGAATGCTGGGAGTTGTAGGACTTTTTCCTGTTTAAACAGCTATAGGATTGTGCTCTTAAAGTTACATTTATTAGATCATAAGTCATGGCCAGTGACTTGGCATTTCCTGAATGTATGTATCAAAAAGAGAGAGGTCCTTGTTTTGAATCACACCTCTACCATGAACCGTGTTCTTAGACAAGCAAGCTGCCCTCACCCAGCCTTAGCTGACCCATAATCAGCAATATGGGGATAATAATGCTGATTCACTTTACAGGGTTATTGCAAGGATTACAACTGGATAATGCAAGTAAAGCAGTGTGAACACTTGATAGCATTACACAGATGCAAAGCACTACTAAAGGACCACCAAAAGGTGTGGACATAATGAAGTGAGCTGGGTTACAGGGTCTAGGCTCTAGACAACAATGCGGCTTCATTCCACTGAGCGCTCACATGTGCCAGCATCTGATGTGCCAGCTGGTGGACAGGAACAAATTGCATTTTCCCCACAATGAAATGTATCATACTGAAAAGAAGCTGCATCTCCTCCTGAACAACAGATGCTGAGCATAAGTAATAGAGAATGCCTGTCGCCTCCCATGTCCTGTTTATGGTGCCTTTGTGGAAGCATCTGGCCAGCCAGAACTGGAAACAGGATGCTGGCTATATGGACCATGGGTGCAATCTAACAGGACTCTTCTTGCATTCCTGAATGACTTCCTCTGAACACTGCTTTGTTTCTGAATCTGGGACAAAACAGTTCTGATTTTCAACTGGTTTCCATATCAGTTGCGTAAAAGAATCCCGCCTTGCCGAACACGCCAACTTCAATGTGAAAGTGATGCTTTAAACTCGATTCGATTCAGAACTGAATGTACCCCACTGCTGCATCATTGCAGGAAATGCTAGGCCATGGTAAGACTGCACATCTCAGGATGTTCTCCCCACTATCCCTCCCTCTCTTGCATCAACGCTACCCAGTCAAAAGCTTTTGGAAACCTTGGGTCCAGTGTCTCCTGGGAGGCCTCTGGCACCATCTGCTCCTGAGCGGCCCTAAAAAAGAGAAAGAGACAAGGTAAAAGTAAGAGGAAGCATCTCTATACAGTGTCATTCAGACATGGATGAGATGGAGCAAAAGGCTTACCCGCTTTCCAGTTTTCCCTGGAGGCCCAACTAGTCCTTGAATGCCTGGGGAGCCCTAGAACAAGAAGAGAAAAATTAGATTGAGAGCTGCTTCCTATGTTACTTTTCCCAATTTTAAGATCCATCACTGTGTTAGAAAAGCTGTGCCCTTTGGAAAAAATGCCACATGATGTGCCATCGGGACAATATTCATCTGATGTTTGCACCTATGAAGTTGCACATCAATGACCAGACATTGTAATTGGTCCAGAATGCAGAGGCTAGAGAGCTGACCGGTAGCAGAAAGAGAGCTTGCATAAAGCTACATGTCGAAACAGTTGCAGTAGTTACCCATAGGCCCAATTCAAAGTTATAGTTTTATCCTTTTAACACCCTCAAAAATGGCCTAAATGGTCTGGGCCCTTAAGATCTAGATAGGATTTATTCATTTTAAACCCATATTGACTATCTATTTCCATGAAACAAGCTAAGCCAATGATATTGAAAACAATCTCTTCCCATATGCTCCCTTGTATGTCTTCAAATCTATAGGACACAGCACAGGCCTGTTATGGCCGACCCTGACTCCTAGGGAAACCATCCAGAGGTGCCCACTATTCTCTACCACAGCTGGCTGGGAAGGTTCAGACCAGGCTGGGACACATCTGGCCAGCCAACACCCTCCTGGCAGTTGTAACAGGAGTGAGGAGGGGCTGTGGCCCTCCAGAGATGTTTTCAGCTCATTTACTTGACCAACATTATAAACCACTCTAAGGCTAAAAAAGATTCCCAAGCTGTGAATAGTTAAAAAAATAAAAATAAAATCAAGTTCTAGCTATAACACTGAGGCTGGTCATTCAGAAAAAAGCTTGTTTAAATAAACATGTTGAAAGCAAAGCAATGTTGGTCCCTGCCTGACAACAGCTGGCAGGATATACTGAAGACAGTAGACCAACCTTCCCCAACCTGGTGGCCTTCAGAGGCATTTGGCATGCAACTTCCAGAATTCCCATCCAGCAGGGCCATTGACTGGGAATTCTGGGGGTTGTGGTCCAAACATGTCCAGAAGACACAAGGTTGGGGAAGCTGCAGTAGACTAAAAGCTCTACTTTGAGTGAAGTCTAATTGGACCTTAAGTCACATGCCTGATTGCCTCAGTGACTGGACAAGCTGATAAAGGAGAAGGCATACTCTCAAATATTGTTGGATTCCAGCTCCCATGAGCCAGAAATGATGGGAGTTATAGTCAAGCAACACCCAGAGGTCTGGAAATTCTCTACCCTGAGCGGTGACTTTTTATGACCCTATTGTTCTTCTGGCACTGTATTTGTATACTTAGTGCATTGGTGTTCTGCTTTATTTGAAGCTTGAAGCTGTCCTGCGAATGGGAGGGTATGACCTGATGGGGATCACAGAAACTTGGTGGGATGAAAGGCAAGTCTGGAATGTGAACATAGAGGGGTATCACCTTTTCAGAAAGGACAGGAAGGGAAACAAGGGTGGGGGCGTGGTTTTATACGTCAGGGAAGGGATAGGATGCAGCGAGATAGAGTGCAGCACAGATGGGGATTTGGTAGAGGCAGTCTTGGTGAAACTTAGGGGTTTTGACAGGGAAAGAGACCTGACAGTGGGGGTATGTTATTGTCCTCCAGGTCAACTTGAGACCCTGGATAATGTCCTGACAGACTACATTCTAAGGATATCTTGGGGGAGAGACAGACTAATTATGGGAGATTTCAGTCCCCCGGATATTAGTTGGGAGACTCACTTGGTGGTGACAGCCAGGTCACATCACTTCCTAGAAGCTATAGAGGGAGCATTTTTCACTTAGAGGGTCCGAGAGGCAACGAGGGGGGGAAACATCCTTGACTTGGTCTTGACCAGCAGAGAGGAGCTGATAGATGAAATACAGATTAAGGGAGCTCTGAATGTGAGTGATCATTCCATCCTTTGCTTTGAGATCAGGGGAATGGGGACGTGCAGCAGGTCGTGCACTAGAAGCTGGGACTTCAAGAGGGCCAACTTTGGCCAACTGAAGGCCAGACTGGGGAAAGTCTCCTGGGATAGGTTACTGGAAGGTAAGCAGGTTGAGGAGGGGTGGATGGTACTCAAAAGGGAGGTTTTGGAGGCGCAAGCCTTGACGATATCTCTAGTTAGTAAGGTGGGGAGGCGGAGGATAGTGCCGCCATGGATGCAAAAGGAGGTGGTTAGAGGGATGAGACAAAAGAGGAACCTCCGTAGGAAATGGGTACTGCGGAAAATAGACAAAAGGGTATACCGGGAGGAGGAGGCCCATTGCAGAAGGATTCTTCGCAAGGCTAAGGCTGATTACGAGCTGAGACTTGCCAAGAATATCAAGAGCAACAAAAAGGGCTTCTTTCAGCACGTAAATAGGAAGAGGAAGGGGAGACAAGTAGTGGGACCACTAAATAAGGAGGAAGGAGATCCAGTGGCTGATATGAGGGGACAGGCACAGATGCTAAACGACTATTTTACCTCTGTGTTCTCCCCAAAGCATGACGGGGGAGATCCGCATAGGAGATTAGATCAGGCCGGGGACTTAGGGGCACAGATTAGAGTCACCCCCCTAGAAATCAAGGGGCTCCTCAGGGCATTGGACATTACAAAGGTGCCAGACCCTGACGGGTTACACCTGAGAGTACTTAGAGAGTTGGTAGGGGTTCTCTCACGCCTGCTGGCCTCCATTTTTGCGGCCTTGTAGAGAACGGGTGAAGTTCCAGAGGACTGGCATCAGTGGTCCCCATTTTCAAAAAGGGTAATAGAAGGGACATGGGGAATTACAGACCTGTTAGCCTTACATCCATTGTAGGAAAAACAATGGAAAGGCTCATAATAGAGAGAGATCTAGTGATGCTAGATAGGGAAGGGAGGCTGGCAGTCACATAACACGACTTCCGCAAAAACAGGTCCTGCCAGACACACCTTGTGGAATTCTATGGCAAGGTTTCAAGATGGCTGGATGGAGGGGATGCAGTGGATGTGGTTTACCTGGATTTCAGCAAGGCCTTTGACAAAGTGCCCCATGATATCCTGGTGGAGAAACTGGTGGAGGAGTTTTGGGATACACCAAAGCACTGTCCGGTGGATTAGGGCATGGTTGACTGACCGAAAGCAGAGGGTTACCATTAGAGGGGAGTCATCTGGATGGCAGCCAGTGACAGGCGGGGTCCCCCAGGGCTCTGTCCTGGGGCCGATCCTGTTTAATCTTTTTATAAATGACATGGAAGAAGGGGTGAACAGTCTGCTGATCAAATTCGCAGACGACACTAAAACTGGAGCAGTGGCCACAACTGAGGAGCAGGTACTCCAGATCCAAAAGGATCTGGACAGACTATGGAAGTGGGCAGGAGACAATAGGATGGCGTTCAATGTGGATAAGTGCAAGGTCTTGCACTTGGGGCATAGGAATAGGTGTCATAAGTACAGGTTAGGGGACAAGTGGCTGGAGAGCAGCACTTGTGAAAGGGACCTCGGGGTGCTGCTTGACTGCAGGCTAAACATGAGTCAGCAGTGTGATGCGGTGGTCAAGAAGGCGAATGCCACCCTTGGTTGCATAGTCAGAAGTGTGGCTTCTAGATCAAGAGAGGTATTACTACCACTCTATACGACCCTGGTGCCCCTGCAACTGGAGTATTGTGCTCAGTTTTGGGCCCCTCATTACAGAAAGGATATAGCCAGATTAGAGTCAGTGCAGCACAGGGCCACAAGGTTGGTGACCGGTTTGCAGGGGATGCCGTATGAGGCGAGACTGAGGGAACTGGGTCTCTTCAGCCTGGAGAAGAGGAGACTCAGAGGGGATCTGTTGGCAACATACAGGTATGTGAGGGGATGTCACATGGGGGTGGGTAGAGACCTGTTCTCCCCTGCAGAGGAAGGCAGGATGCGCTCCAATGGAGCCCAGCTCAGGGAGTCAAGGTTCCCTTTAGATGCCGGGAAGCACTTCCTGACAGTTAGGACCCCGAGGGTGTGGAATGGGCTTCCATGGGAGGTCATTGAGGCCCCATTGGTGAGGGTGTTGAAAGATAGGCTGGATATGCACATGGTGGGCATGTCATGAGCGGAGCCGGCTGGAGCCGGGGGTCAGACTAGATGGGCCGGGAGGCCTCTTCTGACTCGCTCTGTTTCTATGTTTCTATGTTTATTTTGTTTATTCTCATTACATGATTTTTGATGAGCCAGCTAATTGCAGTAAAGACCAGCAAATTTAGAATACCTATGCAAAACTCCCAAACCACAGGCTGGTAAGTATGTCATTATGGGTTGGGGTTGGAGGGAAGAACAAGGTTGGATGGGAGGACTTCCCATCGAAGTCCGGGCTCAATTTAAGGTGTTGGTAATCACCTATAAAGCTGAGACTCTCCTCCGGGAGCCCTCAGTGAGAGACATCAGGAAGCAAAGTACCCGGAGGAGGTACTCCTCCTCTCTGCGGTGGCACCTCATCTGTGGAATGAGCTCCCCAGGGACGTCCGCCTGGCGCCATCATTATTTGTTTTTCGGCACCAGGCTAAGACCTTTTTATTCAAACAATATTTTAACAATGTTTAATATTTATTGGGTTTTAATCGTGCAGCCAGGGTGTTTCCGGGTTTTTAACTTTATTTGTATGATATATATTTATTTATTTCTGTGAGCCATCCTGAGGCTATATAGCAAGGGGACGGCATATAAAAACTTTAAATAATAAATAAATAAATAAATAAATAAATAAATAAATAAGAACGACCTATTATCCTGACAGGATGCAGGTTCAAACATTGTGGTATTGTGTGTGTGTGTATGTGTGTGTGTAAACATATTGTTAAGAACATTGAACTAGATAGAGGAATTCTAATGTGAGAGGCAAAGAAGGACTAGCTTGTTCTTCATATATGATCATCACCATCATCCCCAGAAAAAGGAGACTGGATTGTAGGTTGATGTTTTTCTACTCTGTCTCATAGGCATGCATATGTCCCCTGCTCATATTTAGGAACCAACCTGTGGTCCTGCTTCACCAGGATCTCCTTTCTGACCAGAATTCCCTGGTAGACCCTAAAAAAGCAGTATGATAAGAAAGTTTAATTCAGGATTCACCAAACATCAAGAATAGAGTTACAGCTGGCAGGCTGGATCCCTGCAATAGGGGGAAAAGCCCTCCTTTCATGGGCTTCCCTCCATCCCAGGATCTATAAGAATGTTGTGTACTCACCAGTGGCCCTGGCCGCCCTGTAAGGCCCATGGGGCCAGGAGGACCCTTCATGGAAAGCTGTGGAAGGGAAACACAACTATGACTCTCAGAGGAGTCACTTAAGCAAAACCAATGCTGATGAGATTCAGAGGAGGGAGAGAAAGGCTGCTCAGCAGGGCAGCCTGGCCCTCCCTTGAGCAGAACTAAAGGCAGGAGTAAGAGAGCAAGAGCCTTGCCTAATGTTGCAACGTGTTCCCTGCTCTCCATTCTCATGATCTCATCTCAGTCGTGCACTGAGCAGCCAGCCTAGCACCCAGAGCATGTGTCTGAGGCATGGGTCATGGCCGAGGAACCCTCTCTCAGCATCAACACTTTCAAAACAGGTATAATTCTGATTCAGCTTGTGCTAGTCAAATGACCAAAGGAAAGATGTCTTCTCATCAAGACCTAGGGGACAGCAACACAGGGGATCTAAAATAATTTTTGAAGAAAGGGATTTCTTTCCATCAGGTGCACCCTCAGTTCTTAACCTTAGTTGCGACCAGAAAAAAACAAACAAACAAAGAGCAGATCAAGTTGACAAGCAAGGAAACTAACGAGTGCGGCTTTCCTCTTCTCCTACACTTATTTTATCATTTCATACAATATCATGCAGCTTGGTTGATTCCCCTAAGTAACCCATGTGCTGATGTTGCTGATGGTGAATGATCTGTCCCTTGAATCAGGCTGCAATTTTCTGCACTTTTCCTATGAATGTGAAAATCAGGATTGTTAGGGTAAAATATGCAACCTGGAAGTTGATTGAGGTCCATTCTTGCATGGTGTATGAATGTGACTTCATACCAGGAGATCTTTTGTGATGGACTACATGAGTTTCAAGTCACTTGGAGGCCTGCAATTGTATTATTTGAATGAACAGGGAGAGGGAGAGAGAGAAACTGAAGAGACCACCACACAAAGAAATACAAAGCAGATCAACAAATGAAGCATCTAGGCCAAAGCAGGCAACCCAGTGCCTCTCTGAGTTTTGGACTCCCTGACTAGTGATGGATGTGATCACAAAGGAAGGGATTGCAGTCCAGATCATTGGAAAACCACAAGATTGTGCTCTAGGCTCAGAGATGAGCATGTTTCAAGAGAAGGAAGTTATAGAAAAGGAAAACAAGTGGCACCCAAAGAATTCAAATGCAATGATCAAGGATGTCAACACACACACACACATCTGCCCATGGTGCTTACCTTCGCCTGCTGCAAAATAGCCTGGGCTTGGGCCTCCTGAAAGGACACTGAAGGGCCTTTAGCTGAGTCACCACCAAACTGGAACTGGAAACGGATGTGAGAGGAGGTCAGTGAAGGAAAGGGGAAGCACATGAAGTTATGGCTAAACTAACCAAAACACAGGCTACAATCACCAAAGATGCTCTGCTAAAATGGCCTCTCTCTCCCCTGCAGGCAAACCACTCACCCAACCCATTTCTGGCAGCATCCTTGCTCAGCAAAATCATAAGTTAGCTCTGCACTTTGGTAGCTGGATCTCTGTTTCATTGCTTGTCAGGGAAGAGGAGAAAGGAATATCATATTTAAAGCAAAAGTGGGCCACATGCAGCCCACAACTGCAACTTCTGCCAAATCCCCAAATTTGCCACCATAACACTGAATTTGGACAGCAACATCAGCAGCATGGTGATAATTTCAATGGTAGGCTTGAACACGTTCCCCAGTGGGTTTGGGTTGAGAGGAAATAGGCCTTCAGACCCTCTGAGGCTGCCCAACTTGACTTCAAAGGATTGAAAGTTCAAGATGTTATCCTTGCTTGAGTGGATCAGTTCTTAAGGTGTGCAACTTTCCTCTTCTTAACAGATGGATGAACTATGTATTTAGCCCAACTTCACATTCTTAAAGCAAACTCTGGGAGTCACAGAAAGAGCCCATCTTCTATAGGCTAAGCCACAATTCTTGGTGTCACCTCAGTTTGGCTTCATCCCTCCAGAACCGAACCCTGGAATCCACTTCCCCTGTTGGTGCTATTTTTTTTTAACCTGAAGTTCAATCAAAATGATGTCACACACTGGAGGGGAGCTCATTTTATTTTAAATGTCAGGCAGATCAGGAAATGACATTTCTCTGGAATCTTTTTTCTAGGAACAACTTCTCTCATTTGCAGCTTTCTGAACCACTAGAAATGCCCCACTCTTCACACACACACACACACACACACACACACACACACACACGCCACCTACTGGTAACATTATCATTGTCCCAGGAGGTCCTCGCATGCCATCAGCTCCTGGAAGGCCTGGGAGTCCTGGTGGCCCCTGCATAGAAGCAACAAGAAGCCCCCTGTCAATCATTCCTGGGAAACATTAGGTGAGCAGAAAGCCACACCAAGCTGGGACTTGTCTCCCAGCACTGAGGCACACTGAAAGGGGTGCATGTCGGTGATGTGACTTCCCTGCCCCCAGCATGTCTAAGAAGATGATGAATCCCCAGACTGGAGGAGGTTGACTTTCCCTTGAACTCAGAGAATTCCTTACTCGCTCGCCAGGATCGCCCGGAAATCCTGGTGGCCCTGCCTGTCCCATTGGGCCTGTCTCACCCTGGGAAAAGATAAACAGAAAATTAAGAAAGGCATCACCCACTTGAATCCCACACTACATTCCCCTTTGAGATGGAAATAATGTAGCAGAAAACCACAAACCAACATTGCAAAACTGTGCCTGCAGCACCATGTCTGCCCCTGACACAGACTCTAGTAGGAATAAGGCGGTAAGATTTCTAGTGCTCTTGGAGCAGGACTTCAGTGTTATATATAGGTCTTTGTTCCTCCTTCTCCTGGCCAGCAGAAGCAGAATATTCAACTGGATGCAAACCTCGGACACTTATCCTGTTTCTGCAGAGCAAATACACTGATATACACAGAAGCATTCTAGGACAAAATTTTGGGTTTACTTGACAAATTGATTTGATACCCCCCTCCCTAAAAGTGCAGATTAGTATATACTAGCTAATATATCTAGTATATACTTGTTAATATATATTATATTCATTTGTTAATAAATGATGGAAGCTGAAAGGAGTCTGTAGGAGGGACACAGTTTGAACTCTAGATCTGTGGTAGACTCTTCATCCACCAGACTAAACTGGCACTTGGTTACAGGGCATCCATTCTACTCCTTAGTTGTAAAGGAGACTGGAAGAATGTCCTAGGAGGAGGCTATCTTTGTCCAGTCTAGGGATATTGCTGACCTGCTATGAGAAGGCCATATAGGAGAAGTAACTCAGGGGAAATGATGTAAAGCATCCTTGAAACCTGTAGAGCACCAATGCCAATTTCATGTGGAACCCCAGAGAGCAAACCATAAGAAGGTGGCAGAATCTACTCAGAAGCTCACAGGACACAAAGTCCCGATTTTGTTGACATGGCCCTAAACATCAGTAAGGTCTGCCATGGTGGACTTGCCACAAAAGACAACCATGATGCAAGATATCATTATTTCATAGAGAAGTGCCACAAAATTAAGTCAATAGTGGCACTGCCAGATCATGAGCACTAGGAAATCCTCTGGTGTACCTGATTAGTACCTACCAACCTTCCCTTGAAGACCCTGTATGAATTATTTCCCTTACCTGAGGACCTCGGTATCCTGGTGGCCCATAAAAAACCCTGCCCTGTAACAAAAAGATGCAAGATAGCTTTTGACACTACCGTAACAAAGAGGGTACAAAGCATCCATGAAACATATGTTTCATATATATATTACACATATATCCACACTTAGTGATATCACTTAATTACTGTTAAATATTCTTAAAACCACCTTTGTATGCCATAAAGAAGGGACACCACAAATATCCACTATTTTATCCTTCTTAAGTATAAGCCCCATAACTACTTGTGGATATCTTGAGTAGGCAGCATGCTTGTGGATATTTTCAATAAATCCCCGGAGGAAGAAAAGTCGTGGCTTAATTGCCCAAGTTCTTGCATGGTTAGGCCCACTGGGCAAGGGAGGTTCAACCTTGCTCTGCATCTGCATTATTTTATCCTGATGTCTGAGTTTTGTCTGGAAAACATGATGCACAACTGCTGATAACAACATGCATGCAATGCACAACTGTACTGTGAAAAAAAGCACATCTACTTTCTGTGGTTCTAGTGTACAAGAAGGTGAACACTTCCATGGAACTGAAGGAAAGGGTGTCAAGCCCATGGAAACATCCGTAGAAATTAAGAAGCCACAACAGTAAACAAATGTTACAACCAAAGTGAATTGTCAACAGAATACTGCCTTTGTTCTGAGCTCAGCTGCAGGGTTCAACCTCTCCCAGAGGCTCATCATCTCTGATACTGCAGGCTTCTCTACCCTGGTGCCTTCCAGATGTTTTGGACTTCCAACTGTGAACAGCCTGGGTTAGCAAGACCAATGGTCAGAAGTAGTTGAAGTTATGATCCACAAGATGTGGAGGGTACAAGGCTGGGGAAAGTTGCACTACTGAGAGTCTACCCCCCACCCCCCACATACACACACCAAGTTCCTATCACCTTCTCTGCTGGTACCTTCTCTACTGTTTGGACTTCACTAGATTTGGAGATCTGTATTTTTCCAAGGTGAACAGTGAACTGGTCTCCACCTTGGAGGCCCCCATTCAAAGATGGAATTCAGCCCTTTCCCCATCCTCTTTGATGGAGAGGCAGCAATATCAGAACACAGTGCAGATCATACTCACAGGCTCAATGATTGCGGGCTCCCCCTTCTCTCCCTTCAGGTTTGGTTCCTGGCAGAGACACAAAAGAAGCCAGTCACCGTAACAATGGCCAAGCTATATCAGGCATTCCAGTGGCAAAGCTGCCTCCTCCAATGGAAGAAAGGTGGGATTCGCGTGTCATAAATGAAAAATTCTCCCCAGAAGTGGGCAGTTCAGTGGGAAGCCTCACTGAGCAAGAACTGTTCTCCTGTCTGCTATGCAGCGGTATCAGGGTAGCAAATCTCTTTCAGCCTCTGACCAATTCTGTTTTAGAGAAGTTCTTGGGAGCAGAAGGGGAATACATTCCAGTGTGTGTGTGCAAAATACCAGAAATACCGGCATATTTATAATAATAATAATAATAATAATAATAATAATAATAATAATAATAATAATAATATTGTATGAATGAAAGCTAAAGCTGTTACTGCTAGTAGCAAAGCCTTAGGAGAGACAGTTCACCCCTTCAGAAGGGGAGGAAAAACTGCAAAAAAAAAAAAGGGGGGGGGAATCCAGCAAATGAATGACAGGCAGAAGAAATGGGACAGGGCTAGGAAAAGGGTTTGCGGCCCCCTCAGGAACTCTGGAGGGCAGCTGGGCTCCCAGGCTCAAGGTGCTGCACCCCTGAGCTACAAGCTGTGGAAGCAAACTATTAGCACCCTGAAAGAAAGATAGTGATGGGAATTGATGCTGGTTGTGTGAGATGCTGGAAAAGAAGCTTGAAAGAAGTTGAGATGCTGGACATGCACATGGTAGACATGTCATGAGTGGAGCCAGCTGGAGCCGGGGGGGGGGGGGTCAGACTAGATGGCCCAGAAGACCCCTTCTGAGAGTGAGTCAGAAGTTTCTATGTTTCTGTTTTCTGAGCTTGCTGAGTCTGAGGTCTGGCACTGGGTTGGCCTGTTGCTAATTCTTCCCTCTTCTATCAGCATCTAAATAAGACCTAAAAAAGAAAATCTGCTGTCTCACCCTTCCCAGGGCTCAAAGGAACAGTGAGTGAAGAAGGAGCCACTGAACCACTTGAAATCCTCAGGACAAAACTCTTAGAGTGCAAGGACAGGAATTCTTTAGAGCAGTGCTAGGCAACCTCTAGATGCTTTGGACTGCAGCTACTGTAATCCCTAACCATTGGTGATGCTTGCTGGAAATTCTGTGAGTTGTAGTCTGAAAGTTGCCTACAACTTCTTTCAAAGTCCCCAAAGCAGCAGGGCAGAAGAGACACAGACACACTGAGCAAAAGAAGACAGCACTCCATCCTGAGCTTCAAAGTCTAGCCTCATCGGGCAAGCCTTACAAAGCTTCCCTAAAGTACTCAGGGTTGGACTTTGGCAGGTCCACAGAATGACTGTGCCGATGCCCTCATTCTCTGGATCTGGGATGCTGAGAAGGTTTTGTAGTTAGCCTGACTCACATGGCTTGGATCACTACTGTCCCGCCCTGACCGGTGGGAGCAGTGGCCAAGATTCCATCACAAAGCCCTCGTGACCTGGTGGTGCTTGGCAGTGTCTACAGAGCTGGCAAGACAGGCGCAAAAAGAGCTGGATGAGCAGCAAGCAGTGCTTGGTGAGAGGGGTGCTTAGAAATAGGTATCTGCCTTTACTATTAGGCACGGCGGCCTCTTGGCTTCTACATGCCTCAAAAGAATAGGGTTCTCTCAGCCAGACCCCAGGGAAAAGACAGAGGTAACATTTTTTAAAAATAGCAACCAAGGCAGTTTAAACAGCTCCTCTGTAAACACATGTGGCTTTTCCTCTCTTGAAATAAGTTCTTGGGGGGAAATACTAACTCCACAGGTTTCTGGAATGATTTGGCTTGGGTTGGAGCTGGGATAGTAGAGACTGCAGTGATGCCTTCTGGCTAGAGCCCACGGCATTGCTAACATGCCTCCCGGCCATCCAAGCAGGACTTACGCAGCCATTTCAAATACGTTTTCATTTTGTCTTTATAAAGAAGGATAAATTCATCACAAAGTAACACATATACCATTTTTATTTTTTATTGTACATATATATTTTTAGTATCGCTGCTGCTGCTACTGCTGCTGCTACTACTACTACTGTTGTTGTTGTGTGTATGTGTGCAAGGGGAATAGCCAGTCAGCATCAGCACAGGGCTGGCAAAACAGAAGCAGGAGCTTGAACAGGGCAAATTCATTGGATTTTCACTCCCTGCTATGTTCCTCACACATCCCTACCAGCAAGGGAGTACCTGACACTGCTGTAGTGGAGAGGCATACAGCTCCAACACTTCTTTTCAGAGTAAGAACAAAGATATAATCTGCCAGAACATTTATTTATTTAAAACATTTTTATGCCGCCCCCATCGCAACGAAGCCTTGGGGTGGCTCACAACAGAAACAAATACATAAATACATAAAAACATCAGGATAAATATGGACTCTTCTCATTCTGGCAAGTGAATGAGGTAATAATGAGACTTTCAAGTTTTACCATTCTTTCTGACAAGCAAGCATAACTGTCTGGATTTCTAAATAAAAGCCAAAAAGTTCCATTTCAGCTGGCTTAACTTCTTTCCTTATAGTTCAGTGTGTTCCTAGGCAGTCCAGAGAAAATGCCGCTAAGTTTAATGGAGCTTAATCACAGATAAGAGTTTTTTTCTAAAGCCCCATCAGGCTGCTGAGCCAACTTCACAAGTAGTGTCTCTATAGTTCATTACCTTGGAGAGTCTGAGAGTGTCTTCAATGTGCTCAGCTGGATCGTACCGCTCCTCCTCCCTGCGGTCACTTCGGTCATAGTAATCCTCATAGTCCCTGGTTCTGTAGTCAGGTCTCTCATCATATGCTTGAAAAGTGCCATTGGCATCCAGGTCTTCTCCAAAAAGGTCCTATCAGGAGGGGAGAAATGAAGCACACCAGAGATGACCTGTGTGCTCTGACTTGTGGGCTTCTTTGTGCACTCCCCACTGGACCCATTTTCCTTCCCCACCCACAATTATTACAGTCCATGAACAAAAAGAGATTTTGAGCATCCAATCTTCTGAGGATTAGCATGCACATGCATCCGCACAAAAATACACACATTATGATGCATATACATGATTCTGCATGGGAGCCAGTCTCAGGCTTCCATGCTCCCCTCCCATGCATACAATGTTTAGGGTGACCCATGTATACATTTGCTGCATCCAGCGCATAACCCCATAGTGGGAAGATCATCTGTAAAGTGACAAGCACATTTATGTAATTACAATTTTAAGACTTGAATAAAATGCATAAATTCTTGCAAAATGTTCTGAGCATGGTGCGGTAGCATGCAGAAACGCAAGTCTCACTCAAGTGTAGGAGGTCTTGGCAAATGCACATGGCAGGTCTGGGAACCAGTCTGAAGGGCAAGCAAAGAAGCTGTGGCATCTGTGTGTGAGTGTGAATGTGAGTGTGCGCTTTAAATCTATAGAATGTAAATTGAGGTTAACAGTTAAGAGAAAATGTCATTTGTTTCTTTCCTCTCAGACAGCAGCAGTTTTCTCCCACATTAATTTCTACAGTAAGTCATGTTTGCATTGCCAGTCCATGAGGATTAAACTGCTGCTGCTCTTTTTTGTTTTACCCCCATGCCGAGAAAGAAAATTAACCGTTACCCCTCCCTTCCTTGCATTGAATAAGAGAACAGAGAAAAATGCTGCCTTTGAAAAGGAAGCATTGCCCAATTATTTTTGTTCTAGACAGTGGTGGTTACACTCTCTACCCTAGAACTGCCCACATCATCTCTTTCAATTATCCCAAGGGAAACTGCAGTAAACTTCTGCTGGATTTTCCCAGCCATTATTTAGTCACTGAACTGCTGTGGGTAACATGCAAAGCCCACTGCAGTGGGGACATGTCCAACTAGAGTTCCAGCAATGAGGCACTGTTGGGCTGCCAGTTAAAGCATATTCTGTAAGATCTGGTTGTTTCTGCATGCTGTCAAGTCTCCTCTGACTTATGGCAACTCTATGAATGAAAGCCCTCCAAAACATCCTGTCCATGACAACCCAGCTCAGCTCTTGTAAATTTAAAGCTTCAGCATCCTTTATGAAGGCCTTCTATCCCATATTTGGAAGACCTCTTTAGCAATAAAATCAAGAGTAGTTGTGGAATCTGCTTTGGAGCTTCTGTTCTTTTTCAAGGAAAGGTTGGTTCACTGTCATGGATGCCACATGATGAGTGAACACAAGCTACAGCACTGACTGCCGAGTCTTATTGTGGGAAAAAGATCAATCCCCTACTTGGCATGGAGCACACAGAAGCTGGAGACAGACCTTTCCCCCCTCTGGAATTCACAGTCACTGTGCCGCACATGGGAGCTGACCTGTGTGGGACCCTGGCATTTCCAAATGGAGGTGAGCTATCACATATCTGATTTTTTTGATAGGATGGGAGGTCTATTTATTTGATTTCTGTGTAAGGATTATATATTAATTTTGGCATTTGTACCTAGTATGCATTTTAGAAAGTAATTAGGAAAATTTTAGGTAAGTACTGTTTTTGTGCTATTTTCATTCTGTACGCTAGGGCCTGCGGCTAATGCAAATAAAGGCTCAATGAATGAACCTGTCTGAATGTTCCTGCATCAAGCCATCCCTGCATGTTGTGTGCCAAGAAAAAGGGAAGGGCTAGAATAGGGCCGGAGAACTTTCCATTCTGAGTTCTCTCATGGATAACCTTCCCGGGGTCACATAGCAGCTGCACGTGGAGTCAAAGCTGCGTCCACACTGCATTCATCCACATCCATATACATACACACCACCATTCTCACATGTAAACACCCCATTCATACCAACACATACTCACCCATTCCTACACGTACTGGAGTTAAGCTTGAAAAAGACACCTACTGGGGCTAACAGGGTTTGGATTTGTTTTAAAGTTTGCAGTAATCATTGCATGGGGGTCCCTGTTTTCAGGAAGCAGGGCTGCAGCACATGAGCAAGGGAAGGCTACCCTTGCCAGCTGTGGCCCTTGCCTATCTCTCTGGGCAGTGCAATTAGGGTAGAAAAAAGCCTCCCATCAGCTTCAGCCCTAACTACCGCAGGGGTGCAACTGAATTCATGCTGTTTGGAGAGGCCCTGTAGGCTGCAACCAGCCAACTGGCTGCCAGTCCCGTCCCATCCCCACCCCCATTGCCCACCAGCCCTACTTGGAAGATTCCCTCTCCCAGACAGGCTAGGTCTCCATGCATCTATAGGTCTGTTTTTTTTTTAAGGAAAAATACAACAAAACAAAAACAATGAGAGTTTTCAAATGTGAGAACATCCATCTGCATTTTAAAGCAGTAAAGCAAGTGGAAGGCTGGACCAGATGCCTTTTCTGAATGCATCGGTCAGCTTCTCCATAGATCTGATGTGTCCTGGTGCCAGAAGTTCCCATCTGTCAACTTCACCCATCCCATCACAGCCGATCATGAGCTGCAAGGTCCAGGCTTTCTCCAGAGGGAGAGCTTCTTGCCCCAGAGAGTCCAGCTCAGCCACACCCCCCACTACCCAAGTCCTCCTACCTCATAGTTGTCCGTGAGGTTCAAGCTGACCATGACTGTGGTGGCAGCCGTGCCTCCAGGCTCAGCATTGGGACTCTCCTCCCAGAATTCGGAGGCCGCCTTTGTAGGAGTTGCTTGAGTTGCAGTCTCATACTTGTGAGGGTGGCAGAGAGGAAAGAAGATATCAAAGAGAAGATTTCATGGATTAGGGTGTTATCTATTGGCCCTTAAGGCTGGCAGTGGGCACATGGAGCTGTACACAGACCAGGGGTTAGAAATATGCCAGCAGCCAAAAAGCCAGCCAAGGTAGCCACTGGACCAAGGAAATTCCAGGTCAGAGTGCTCTGAGATTTGAGGAGCATGAACCAGGCTTGCCTCTGAGTCCAAGAGATTCTGTGGAGACTAAAAGGTAAAAATATATAGCTTTAACATTGATGATTTCCTTGTGGGGTCAGCCATTATTCAGGGGATGGAGGTTGAAAGTGAATGAGGGATCAGGGTGCAAAGTTTGGTAGAGAGCAATCCCTTGGCAGGTCAAGGGAAGATGCAAGCTGGGCCAGAAGCCCCTTGTGGGAAGCACAGATGAGCACCGAAGCAGATGAACAAGCCAAACATAAAACAGCCTGCTCCTTCATTGATTTTATGCAAGCTGCTCTGGGAGACTTTTCAGCTGAAGGACCAGGTTTTAAAAATGCTACAAATAAAGGGATGAATGGACACATGAGAGGATGGGAACTTGATGAAGTAGGAGGAAAGGAACACAAGGGAAAGAAAGGCAGCAAAACTTGAGAACACTATTTCGGAAGTGCAAGCCGTCATTTATATTCCCTTTGTTTGCAATTTCATGAGTTTAGTCATTACAAGCAAGAGTGTTTATATCTCAGGTCCTTAGAAGGCACAAGAAAAGCCAAACAAATGCTTAAAAATGCACTGCTGTTTTTAAATTTTAATCTCAAGTATATCCTAGCCTAGGCCTTCTCATCCTTGCCCTCTTCCATTTTACTACTTAATTTTTCTCTGCCCACAACCAAATTTTGTCTTGATGGGCCCCTAAAACATAACCACTTAGAAACATAGAAACAGAGTGTGTCAGAAGGGGTCTCCCGGGCCATCTAGTCTGACCTCCAGCACCAGCCGGCTCCACTCACGACATGCCCACCATGAGCATGTCACTTCCATCTCCTTAGTTTTGGGACAAGCCACATGACAGTGCTCATAATTCCAGTGGAGCAGCCAAGTCAGATGACAGTGTCATAAATCTGTATGAGCAACTTCTTGTTTAGAATGAGCTGATTTTGGAAGGGGGAACAGATCTGGTGGGTGCTCCACCAGACTTGTGAGCCTCAGGATGTGACAGGATGTGGCAGGGTGTGTGTGTGTGTGTGTGCATGGGCGTGCATGCATGTGCACATGCACGTGCACATACCACAGCCTTTGCAGGACCAGTTGACTAAACTAAGATCCACCCAAAGATTCAACTGTGCTGACCACACTGCCTTAAATATATGTAGGTCGACAGAGATGGATGATTGACTAAATGGACCCTATCACTGTTTGTGTGACCAGTTCCATAGAGGATTCCATTCCTAGACCAGGGCTTGGGGAATGAAGAGAGATGTTGTGCCAACATCGGGGCAAACAACCAAGGCCAGGTGGGTGACAGTTCCTCCCTGGGAAGGGGAAGAGAAAGAGATGCTTTTCCAGCTCTGAGCAGCCCAGCAGCTGGAGTTTGGATCCCAGAGGGAGGAAGTCCGCCAACTGCTCCATTTGGCAGGGCAGCAGTTCCTTCTGGCCAAGTAAAGAATGACTCACTAGCAGGATGAGCTCAGTATCCCCCTGACCCATATTTCACAAGTTTCTGGATACTGCCCTGACTTGAAAGGGCCAGTAGTGGGAGGAAGAAGGGAGGGCAGAGGGCAGAAAGGAAAAACAATGCCTGTGGAAAGATATATACCCAAGTCATAAAATTTGGGTGGAGGGGAACAAAGAAGGAAATATGATCTAAATAATGCATTGGCTGAAGGGAAAGGGAAGTTGATCAATACTTGGATGGCAAAACATAGGCATAGTAGCCTCTCCAGTGTAGTATCATCCCAAGTTTCAAGCCATGTACTTATACAGTCGCCATGGTCCTGGTTGCTGATAGCATGACCTCCATGCCCCCAAACTTATTTGGTTTCACTAGCACCTCATTTTCTCAACCTCAGGGTAGCTATATTTTGTCCTTTTCCCATCCACTAGACCACAGGCTTCTCTTTTCCTAAGATCAGAAAAATCCGAAACCTTTGGTGGGAAATGTGACCTGAAAAGTATTGGCAAGTTACTTTGCATCTTTCTTTTAAATGCAAAGTAGGTTCCATGATTTACACGCTAATTTATTCTGAGTGAAGAATGAGTGAAGATATGTTGTCAGGGATCTTTGACTTTCTCCAGCTCACCTCACCCTTCCCTTGAATTTATATATTTTTTAAAGTTAACCCAGCAAGAGGCAATTGAAAATGAAACCATTCCAAAGGCTAACAAACTGGGCAGGAGAGAAACAAATAGGAAGTAGGATAAAAACTCTGTGGTTTCTTTGCTCATTTACAATACAATTCATGGCTTAAGCAATCAACAATGGTTAGCATAAACCATATCTTAGGATTATGTGCAAACACAACCATTATTTAAAATACCAGAGCCTGAAGTGCTCCCTTTCTTCTTCTTTTTTTTTTTTTAGTCTACATGCTGAATGTCATGACTGATCAAGCCTGCCCTGCTCAGGGCCATCACATCAAGATGAAAGCAGACATTAACTCTGCGTAATCCTTCTCTGAGATTTACCAAGCAGCTACTCTGCCCTGGCTGCTGAGGTTACTAGGTTAATTGAGCTAATCAAGCTGACTGGTTCATCTGGTTGAAAATTACCAGCAACTGAACATCAGGATGGGATATGAAGATGATATGACCTGGTGGCGAAACTATGAGAAGTTGCTCTCTGGCATGACAACTCACCTGTGTCTGCAGAAGAGGCCTTGGCACCAGTGGGAATTACAGTTCTCCTAGAACCCATAATGGCCACCCCTGCAACACACACACACAATTCCAGGCCAGACAGAAGCTGTTGAGCAGGGTTCCCACAGCCACCCCCAAAGAGTAGCAAACTGGCAGCCATGCAGTGGCAAGCAGGAGACAGGCACTTCTGCCTGAAGAACCACTTGTGATAAAGCAGGAGGAAAAGCTGCAGATTAGGTTGCTCTGGCAGGACACATAAGTTAGGCAGGCAGCAAGTTAAGGCCAGCAAAGGCTGTGAGCAATTAGGCCAACAGAGGGCAGTTAGTTGCACTCTGTACCTGGCCGGGGGCTGGAGTGGGTGAGGGCATCTCAGGCAACTCCTTGTTCCTCTTCTTCTTGCCTCTACCTCTCTTCTTGCCCTTGCCCTTCCCCTTCTTGCCCCTCCTGCGGGGAATATTCTGCACAGGATGGGTGGGGATAGGACAGAAGAAGAGGAGGAAACAAAGACAGAGAGAGAGTGAGAGAGAGAGAGCAGGCACTTGAGAAAGAAGACCAGCAGAGACCATCCCCACAGAAGACCAACAGAGACCATCCCCACAGAAGACCAACAGAGACCATTCCCACAGAAGACCAACAGAGACCACCCCCATGCCCAGCCACCAGGAACCCATTCCCAAGAGTCCAATGAGCAGAGAAGAAACAAGGCACCAACCGCTTCTGGGAGCTGCACATAGAAGAGACCCTTCACCCAACAGATTTGTCCTGATCTGGGGCCAGGATACTTTTCTGGAGAAGACTGGCTTGATCCACTGGCAATGCATACAGAGCCTTTCTGCTAAAGTTCCCACACTCTGTCTCCAGTTCCATTATTGCCAGGCCTTTGGGATCAGTCCCAGTCTGCCCCTTACCTGTTTGCTGGTTGTCCAAAAGGCTACATAACCTGAACCAAACCCATTTCTTCCATCCACTCCCAAGAAAACAATTCAGACTCTTTCTCTCTCTCTCTCTCTCTCTCTCTCTCTCTCTCTCTTCCTCTCTCTCTCTGGCCCTTTCTGCTGTGGATTCATCATCAGAGATACTCAGGTTTCCATTTGTAGCCTTGCATTCCAGCACAGGATCCAGCTAAGGCAGCCCAATAGTGGTGCTCCAGTTCTTCAGTTCTAATTGCTGTGGGGCAATGCATGCCATTCTGGCTGCAATGGAAAGTTTCCTCCCCTTGAAGTCAGAAAGTTCTGCATGGTTTGTCTGACATTGCAAACTCTACTGCCTCATCTCCAGGTCAGGTTCACACCTTCTCACATCACAGTTACCTTAGGAGGTAAAACTGCATGAATCCTTCAGTCTCCATTTATACTTACTGGCATGGAGGCCTCAAGATGACCATCACAATTTATATAGTTTCTAACCAAAATGCCACCACATAATATATGGGTGCACAACTTATTCCACCAAAGAGCCAAATTCCATGTCAGAGAAGCAATCAGGAACCATGTTCCAGAGGTGAGAAGGGCTGAAGTAAAAAAAGATGCCCTCTGCCAAAACAAAAACAAAAAAAACACGCAAAAAATACACAAAAACACACACACAAAAACAAAAAACAGTACAGACAGTCCCCAAGTTATGAACTACCTGCACTTATGAAACAAACTGCCATAAAGCCTATTAATTTTTTAAAATGCTACAGAAAATCATCACCAAAAAAGAGGAAGTGGAAGGGGAGAGTGGGAGGGCATCCAAAGCATCACCCCAGAGAGAAGTGGGGGAAGCAAAAGGGGAGAGGGGGAGGCCTCCAAAACATGCCTTCCTTCCTTGCCACTCCGGAGAGGGAAATCTCTCCAGCATTTTGATGCTGCAAAGAGGATGCACTGGTGAGTTTGGGTGAGGGTGGGGGCTAGAGACATTATTAGAGTTTTTCCACTTTCACATGGGTCCTGTACCCCTAACCTCCACGAATGTGGGGGGGCTGACTACATGTGATCTGACTTACATGCAAATTTGTCTTAAAGATGAATTTTTGTTTTCTTGGGAAACAAACTCATTCATAACATGGGAACTGCCTGTACATTCTAGCTTACAGCTTTTAGAATGTAAGGAAAAATACCTGTACAAAAGCTTGGAAACCACCAAATGTCTGGGGGAAACAGGGGAAGTTCAGTGGAAGGGGTGTGGTGGCCATCTGAAGATTGGGACCCCCAATGGGCTACATTTGGCCCCTCATCCTGAGGTTCTGCACCCCTAATATAAGAATTCCTCCAGTATCAAAGCATCATATTCTGGGAAATTTCCTTGCCATTCTATAATATATATAATATGTGGGAGAGAAGAAATGAATATGTGGGGGACACATCAGAGGTCCCCATGTGAGGTAGGCTGGACTCCAGTTTTCTCTGGGCCCTGGGGAAGTGCAGAATGGACCAGACTCAGCACTTCCATCACAGATCAGAACATTCCTAAGGGTATTTTAACACATTGGGAAATAGGTAATAACCATCCTCACAAGAAAATTGTTTTATGATATACTAAGTGGCAATCCAAATGTGGTTCATCTGCAGAACCAGGACAAGGTATTCCATGGCATTCCTTTGTAACTTGAATATGGCAGGAGAGGGGTGGGAAAGAGTGATGGCAACGGTGCTTCCTCACCACCCATCCCACAGCCTATTTTCTCTACTCCATATAACTGAATGGAGGGAAGGGACTGCAAGACTGGTAGGAAAGGATGGGTTCATTGCCTTCACTTAGGTAGAATAAGGAAAAGAGTGCAAATTGGGGGAAACTGTGTGTATATGGAAAATTGCGTTCCTTGATTAGAGTTTTTCCTATTAGTCTACCAGCCCTGAAATTCAGCTACTCCTGGGAGTAGCCACTGTGCCTGTTGAACCAGCACTTTCCAAGTGGCAGGTCAATGATCATTCACCCAGCAACCCCACTAGGGTCCACAAGGCAGTAGAACATGAAAGGTTCAAATGCCTGAAATACTGTCCTAGCAACCTTTGATCCACCTTCATCAAATCTCAGCTCCATAAATGGGGCAGGTTGTGGGGGGAAAGAGACAGTCATTTGGACCAGAAGGAGTCCTTCCTCTTTAAGAACATGGTGGTGGTGTAATCCCACAGTCCTGAGCAGTCCGAATTAGCCATAGGATAACTCCATTGTCAGGGAAGGCTTCCTTCACTGGCTAGGCTAGTGTAAGGGGATACAGGGCTTGGATCTGGGGGCCAAGATGCTCATCCCAGGGTCGCCAGCAATCACCAAGGGATGGAAGATGGCTCCTAGCAGCTCTCATCATTTGGTTTCCTACCTCTTCGAGATCCTGGGCATGCAGCTTGTAGGCAAGCTGCTTGTCGCAATCAGGCATGTAGAGCTGGCAGTAGTGGGCGGCAGCAGCTGGGTCCGGCACAATGAACAGCTGCTGCAGGTCACCCTGAAGGGAAGAAGAAGAAGAGAGGGCTCAGTGCACAGCCAGTCAGGACTTTTGACCAGGTGCGCATGCACATGCATGCATCTACACACACATTCGTGTGGGGGGAAACGAGCACTGTTGTGTCTATATGTTTTCAGGGCAGGTATCTTTACAGGTGTGCACATGTATGTATGAGTCCAGAGTGTGGAGGAAGACTGCGGAAGTCCATAAGAAAAATTGGACCTCCCCCTATAACAGGAATGGTAATTGGTAGGGTTCCAGATGTTTTGGCCCGCAGCTGCCATCATCCTTCACCACTGGCTATGCTAGGTAGGGCTGATGGGAGCTATTGTCTGGAAGGCCATAATTTGTCTGCTCCTGTTCTATACCATATTGATATATGATACTTGCTTCACATGCTCAAAGTCCTTCCCATGTCTTCTCTTGGAAATCCCTTCAACAGGGATGGGCAACTTGCAGTCCTTGGCCATGCTGGCTGGGGCTGCTGGGATATGTAGTCCCACAGCATCTGGGAAGCCAAACATTTCCCACCCTCCCTTAAAACAACCTTGCAGAACTATTGCCCATCCAGTACAAATTGGGCAGCAGGGTGTGAAAAGAGGACCTTGCTGTTTACTGAAGACCAACCTAACAGTCCGTGCTCTTACTCACTGCATCATCTGTCAAGAGGAAGGCGCCCTTTCTTCCTACCATGAGCAGGATTAGAACTCATCAGTCCCAAGGAATATGCAAATTTAGCAGCTGCCCTTCACAGACTCTTAATTGTTTTATTAGCTCCTCATTCAATTTTTAATTAGCCCTGTCCAGCTAACTGGGCAAGCCAGCCAATCAATCCCTGCTTTACTATATGTGGATGATGCTGTAATTCTGTCATTTGCACAACTGGGACTTAGAAAAGCCCTTTGGGCTTTTTCTCTATTGTACTGAGTAGCAGCTCAGAACAAGCTACTAAAATCTGAAAATTCTTGTCTTTTCCAAAAGGTTTGCTCAACATCAGTAGCAGATTAATGACTACAACTTAGAGCATGTCAGGCTATGTCAATATCTAAGAGTAGCATTCCAGGCTTCTGGGTTATGCAGTCTGCATATGTTTTGGGGAATGCTCAAAGCTCTGCTGCCTCTGTACTTACATTATACTTACATTTTTTTCCCTAAAAGTAGTTCACTCATACCATCTTGCAATAAAAGTCTTCCAGTGCAAGGTACTGTCTCAAATGATATATAGATTACAATCGCCCATGTACAAAGACTTCCATCCCCTGGGAACAGTTCATACAGTCCATGTTCCTCTGTTCATCTCAAGGCAGGGACTTCATCCAGTGAGCCAGGATGCAGGGTCTGGTAAACACTGAACTTCTGTATTATTCTCTGTTAGAGCAGGAACTCCAAGGCCCTGGTTGGCCCTTAGCCCAGCCTTGGCCTGAAGCTCTGTGTACATCCATCCACATCCATTCAAGCCAGGTCTTGGACGCATCCAACTCTTCTATTTGCCTGACTATAGATCCCACTCCTCAATGGTCTGGTATGGATGGCACAACGACAAACCCATCTGCTAGCCACTCTAAGATTTGCTACTTTGTAATCCTGCTGCAGAGAGCAAGCCTTCAGATGACACAGAATGCGGCATGCAGGCACTGAAGAAGCCTGGAATCTGTGGAGGTCTGTGGAACTGGAAGGCCTGCAGACTTGGATGCTGGCAATAAAGGGTGTTAGACCAGCCTCCTTGTTCTTTCTGTTTATTGCCTGGGACAGAATGCCAGCAACAGTCTAGTCCAAACTATTATGACTGCACATGTGCAGAAACACACATTCAGCTGCAGCTGGACATGCCCACACTCCCCCAGTGAGCCTTTGCGATCTCAGCCAGCTCTGGTGCACAAAGAACATTTGCTCCTGATAAATCATCCTGCGAAGTATGGCCAGTGGGCCCCTTTCCAGCCAGCCTCCAGCACTGCCTGCTCCCACCTGCTCAGCTGCGACCCACAATTACTTGGCGCCCAGCATTCCTTCAGAGAAGAGAACTCAAGCAGCAAGATTGGGAGCTGCGAGGAGGCAGGGTGAGTCATGGCCCAAAGAATGGGGTCAGGTAGGGACAGAGAGGGCTAGATCAGGAGGAGGAAGCCTCCTTTTGAAAAGGAAGTCGTGGAAGGAGCAGCCTGGATTAGGAGTGTGGCCACATTCCCACACTTGTAAATAAACAAACAGAATCATCCATGGACCAAAACACTCACACACCAAAAAAAAAAAAAAAAAAAAGCTCAGAATCAGTAGCTCCCCTAACCTGTGCACATACAGGGAAACAAACCATTGAAGATTCACTATCTAAACACAAAGGAACCCAGGCTTCCAAAATACCCTCTGCCTCTCCATTACCAACACACATCCCACGTGGGACTCATTCAGACAGTATGTTTGTAGCTGGAATGATCACGCTTAGCTCAAGAGTAAACTGCAGCATCCACCTAACTAACTTCCTAGCAGTTCCTGGCAACATTCATGCTGTGAGGCCCCTACATGTATCCACCACCCCATGTATTCTGTGGGGAAAACTGGATGTAATAACATGATAGCTATGAAGATGATGGTGCTGGAAAGGGAGGGTGGGGGATTTTTTTCCTAGAGATGCATAACACTATTAATCCTGAGCATGGCTGCAGCTATGCTTATCCAGCAGGTCAGGGCCAAGAAGATCTCACTGGCTTAACTTTTATACTCTCTCCCTCTCCCTCTTTCAGGGTGCTTTCAAACAAGGCATTTTTTGTGCAACTGCTCTGCTGCTTCCATGGAATTCTAGAAGGGGTCCAGATGTCACTCAATTCAACTTGTAACCTTCCCGTTTCCCCACTGCTACCACCAGTGTTTTAATATCCACATTGAGAGAGGGGGAGGGGGGGAGAGAGAGAGAGAAAGGAAAATCCTCTCTCTCTCTCTCTTTCTTTCTCTCTCCCCATCACTCACACAAACATGTACACACTTTCTCTTTCACTCTTTTTACACACAATTAAAAATCTCTATCACATACACACATACACACATGTTCAGTCACCCACACAAATATGCATGCACCATATCTCTTTTTTGTCCCACATACACAAACACACACCCAACCATGCACACATACAACCAACAACTACTTCAGCCATCAGCCCTAGGGTTTAACAGACTAGCCCTTGTTTCCCTCTGTCTTTGGAATGTGGAGGGTAGAAGGAACTGGGTGTATGTTAACTAAAACTCTAGAATCACTTCACAGTTTATACAACAGTTGTGTTTTGACACAACCATAGCAGTGTTGCCCAGGCACTTCCTGCAATAAATAATGAAAAATGGTGAAAATCCAGTGCATTTTGGGGTGCCGTGTACCTGTACACCTCCAAATAGGTCTGTCCACCCCCCACACTTGGTTTACTGTGGGAAAACACTGGTATAGCACTAGCGTTACTGCTATGAATGCAATTGCTGTGTGAGATGACCTTTACAAAGCCAGAGACAGGAGAAAGAGAATCCCTCCATGCCCTTTCGCCTAACAGTAGCTGAATTTGGCAGAATGAAGAATAATGATTGCTGTGGCATTCTAGCTGTCCTTGCATGTGCTCTGCTGTGTGCTCAGAGCCCTACCTCCAAGTCAAGCTCCTTCATGCCCTTGCCAGGAGCAATCAGCCCTGCTTCTGGAGGATTAGCCACATTCCTTGCTGGAAGCAGGAGAGAGGATTATGAGAGAGAGAGGAAGTGGGATGGAAAATGCATGTAGACTCACTTGGGAACATTCCTCCAGCTCCTCTCCCTTTTTCCTCCTTCTCCTGTACCACATTCGTTGCACCGAGCTTTGCCACCCCTTTTGCGTTGCACAGAAAGCTACTTTGTAGCCCCAAAACTGCTGGGCTGACATTTGCAGGCAGTCCCTCACCACCACCCAGCCCCCCAAAAGCAGATGGCCCCAGGCCAAGGTTTCCCAAGAGCTGCAACAAGAGGTGCTTGTTCTTGGCCACTTCCAGAGCCCAACCCAGACCTTGTGCCCTCTGACATTTGGTGCAGGAGGAAAGAATGTGGGAGGCAGCTGAGCCTGCTCTGTGCTTTGAAGGCTGTTGTGATCAACATCACCCCGTCAAGCTGGGGAATCCCTAAGGTGGGGTGGGATTGGGGCTCTTCCACTTGGAAGAGAATCTGGAGCACTTAACAGAATAGACATGCACGTAAGCCTACGTACTCCAGTCACAGGGAACTTGGCCAGAAAGATGCTCTGGCACTCGTGCACTGTTTGTGGGGACCTGAGGGTCACTAGGAGGCTGCTATGTGACCAGAACACTGGAAGTGCTGGTCTCCTGGTCTGATCCAGCAGCACTCTTCTTACATTCTTATGTGCTGCAGCTCTGTGAGTAAGGCTGCTCCGCTCTGACACCCTTCAGATGCTTTGGATTTCAACCCCCATCAGCCCCAGCTCAGGGTCAGGGATTAGCAGGGGTTACTGTCCAACACATCTGGAGAAAACCAGTTTGCAGAAGTCTGGACTGCTCATAGAATCTCAAACCTGCATAGAGCCACAGTTCCACTTTCTGTCTGCTTTTTTCTCATGCCCCCTTCCTTCTACTCTTTCCTGAAATTCCTGCCTCCTAGCACATTGTTTTTCATTGACTGCATTGTCTCTGGGCTCCCTGTTCTTCAGCTTCTCTACATCTTGGGACCTCTTTCTAATTGTCACCCTGTCCTGGAGGCCTGTGTGAGGTTTTTTACTTCCAGCCAAACTCACAAGATCCCCTTGTGAAGCTGGACTGAAAACACTTGGAAAGTTTTTTTCCCTAAGTCATTTAAATGTCTGAAAACAACATTCTGTGCCATCTTACCTGATCAGCTCATCACAGAGTTGTCTTCCCAGGAAAGGGTTAATTGACTTGGAAGAACTAAGCCAACAATTCTCCTTTGTCTGCTCACCCACCCACCCTATGTGTGCTGTCCCTGTAGCAAAGTAAAGCAATATTTCCATAAGAAAGGCCTCCACATAAATCTGGCAGCCAATAATACCTGCCTACAAAGGCAAGCTCTGCTGAGCTCCCTTAACCACACAGGCAGCAAAAGGAGGGGTGGATGGGTCTATGCACTGTAAGTCCATGCTTTTCTGCACTCCAGTATTACCCAAAATGTCAGGGAGTGCGTTAAGGCAGGCTAGGACATCTGAGCTCTACAAGGTTCAGAAAGTGCAAAAAAAGGTCTTGCCCTGGTCATTCAAGCCTCCCAGATTCCTGCCAGCTGCGCAAGAAGGAGGAAGGGGAGGCAAAGAGATCTGGTCCCAGTAGTTTCCACAAGGAATATGGCCAGCAGTACCATCCACAGGGCATGTGTTTGGTGGGACTTGCATGCCAGCTAAAGATTTATCAGGGAGTCTTTTCCAGGAAAGTCTCCACATTATCACTGCCTGATACACTCTTTGGATGCTTCTGGGTGAGCCTTTTATCCTTCCACCACCCTGATTCCCTCACAGAATCTCAGAATTTGGGAGTGGGTGGGGGTCCAGAAAGTGTAACCCTCTCACATTTTCCCATCTCTTCTTTGGTCTTTTTTATTTACTGTGGAAAACCCATTAAGAAAGAAAAGGTGGAAGAGCTGCACCAGGCTTT